GTAATGAGCTGGTTAAAGAATAACCAATACGCATGTTGGGAACCAGAAAGGTAAACTCTCAAGCAGGAGGGGTCTAATCACTCTAGGTCCCTGCCCTGTACTTAGAGAAGTTCTACTTGCTAGCACATATACAGGATACAACATGTTGTTTTAGGAGGTGAGAAGGCACACACACACAGAACAGCTGGGGTGGTGTGGACCAGAGAAAAGGGGTGTGGAGGGAACTGAGATGGCTCCTCAGTATCTCCTTTAGTCTTGGTCTTTGACTAAAAGGGGATGAGCACACTTGAGCACAACCTTTCATTAGTGTAGTCACCTGTGAGTTTTAGGACACTTCCACAAAATCCCACATGAAACTTAAAATACATATCGACATGGCAACTTTTCCCCAAGTCCTGGAAGGACAAGGCATCTGGGAAAGTGAGTGTTGTGACTGACAAGTAGGATAGAAGTGTTGGGGGGTAGGGGACTATGGCTCATGACCTGTAGTTTACCTAGCTACCTTATCTATCAGCCCAATTCTAGTGTGGCATTAAAGCCTACGTACACCTCCCTGGGTTTCTCGGTTGTCTTCCTAGAGAACACAGAGTAAAGGCATGACTGCCCCTAAGGTGCCAGGAGAGCTGGAGCCGGAACTTACTGAGGCCCTCTGCCTCAGGTTACCAACCATGCAGCAGGGGTGCCCAGGGTTGGAAAAGCCCGTATGGGTTCCCAGTTGCTGGGTTGTATTCTTGGCTCTGCCGCTGATAAACAGCCATGTATACTCTAACAACACTGGCTATGGTATACCAAGGACTGGTGACCACAGTCTTTAGGACAATCGGATTCCAAACACTCTCAAACACTCTAACAGATACATTTACATTTAGATGAACAGGGCTGGGGGATTTTTTTTGTCAAACAAAAATTGATGAGAATAATACAGATAGGTTTAGACCAACTGGAACGATTCAGTTTTACTAAAAAGCCTCCCAACTTGACAGAATGCAGCTTTCAATCAGCCAAGGATGCAAGATGGATTTTACAGGAAGTGAACAGATGCAGAGAATATAGGGACAATTCAAGGACTTGGCCCCTGCGCTCTAAGGACGCTGCAAGGCTGGCATTGGAAAAGGCATTTTTGTGTTCACACAGAACACAGTAGGACTGGAGAAAGGCAGACCTCGCAAGAAAGCCTTTGAAGCACGTTTTCCACCTGTGAATAGCTACCACCGCACAGACTTGAGTCATCTCATAGTGGCATCAGGAAGTGGCTTTCTCATAGGCTGTAATATGAAGAAGGCCTTGTAAAGGTCGTGCCCTCAGGAAATTTCACTTTGTGAGACCCCATCACTAGCTGTGTCCAGATCCTCAGGGTTGCTCTATAGTGTCTACAATTTAAATGTGAAAATGTACCTTCAGTGTGGCCTTCAGGGCAGTGCAGACAGACCCAGGGAAAAGTAGCCAAGTGTGTTCTGTTACTGATGGATGCTTCACTGACAAGAAAGGACACCAAATGGTCACTTGCCTGCTGTGGTTGAGATTGCCATTCCTCTCACTGAAGGTTGTAACCCACTACATTGACGAGGTTAAAACTTGATAGGCATAGTGGTGTCATCAATTTAGGGTCAGGCTTTCAGATCTACCTTCTGGGCCAAGTGCATGTGCAGGTATGAGTCACATGTTCATTGCGGTGGTACAACTTGTAGCAAGACTATCCTAAAATTGCAGATGTCAGAGGAAGCTATGACCACTGCCATCTAAAGTCAGACATGTATGTGGGCATTGAAATACCTCATTACCAGGCATATAAAAAATAATTCCCAGTTCTTCTACTCTGAAACTAGTGCACTGCAGGACCGTCTCAGAGAGGGAGGTAAGAAACATGTGTGTAATATCTGTTAGTGGAAAGCCAGTCCTGCAGTGTGGGACATATTCCCGCAAAAAACCCAGAAGTTCCTGCAAGGAGCAATGAAGTCACATAGTTAGAACAATAGACAATGTTAAACTCTGAAAAAGGCACCAGGGTCAAAAAGAAAAAAAAGCTTCTGGAAGAGGCAGTCTGTGAAAAACATTAAGCTAAATTTACCCACAAATTAATAAACAAAACCAAACCACAGGTACAGATAGTAATTACCGCCTTGATGGGAGTAGCATCCTTGTGCCAGACCTGGCCTGGGGTGTCGGGGACACTGAGGCACGCAGGGCCGGAACTGAAAGAACAGTCTTGGACCTGTTGGCAGATGGATCATTCTTTATTCAGGCAGCAGCAGCCCGCAAGGCTTGAATCCATTTATACAGGGTTATATAATAGAGGCCCTTGAGTTAACCCACAGAAATGGACCAGGCCTGCTGGACCCACTGACCAGCAGAAAATGTGGTCTGTCCCAGGGCCCTGCCTGGCTGCCAGGGCGGCACAGCAGCTTGCAGTGTTAGCACTGTCAACATGTGTACTTGGATTTTCTTACACTTCCAGCCCCTTCTGACCCTGACCCTCCGTCTAAAGGAGTAACTTTTCTGATAACATGAACAATGGGGGAAAATGTCAATAAAAGAACAATTTAGCTCTCAGCAGAGGACTGTATGCCAACAGGAATTCAAGACCTTCACCAGACTCCTCACAACCTCTTAGGCAGCAACTACTCCTCCTGTCTCTGGGCCACAGCTCAGATCCCAGGCCTTCTTCAGAACACACAATGGCTGAGCCAGTACCACTCTTCCACTGTTTACCTGGGAAGCTTCTGCCTTCAGTATCAACAAGTGAGAGAATGAGACCACAGCGTTAGTCTCCAGGGCTCCTTGGTATGTTATCCTGGAGCACCAACTAAAAGTGGAAACCATCATCTGTACTTGGGACTCTATTCTACTCCAAATTCCCCAAACATAACCAATCAATGGGCTCCTCTGACTTGGAACCATTGATACAGATGTTCAAAGCAAAATCCTACAGAAAGCATTTTACTACTGGTTGAAGAAAAAAATACACACAAGCTCCCATTCCAGGAAAAGAGAAACTGAATGTGAGTGTTCTGGTTAGGCCTTTGCTGCATCAGTTCCACAGGGGATGACACACACATGGGCCAGAACAATCGAAGCCAATGCAAACTGCTCACGCCTACATCAAGAAGGAAGAGGAAACCTGAGTTTGCCTTCTCCCTGCTATCTGGATTATTCTTTGCCGTGAGGACCTATCATGATGCTCCTTTTCCTTAAGACAGAATCAGAAACTTGGTTCAGGATACTCAGATCACTGTTATGGCAGTACTGCAGTCCTTGGAAAATTCAGCAGAAATGATCCATTAATTCAATTATTTGCTCACAGTTGAGTTACCCAGTCTCAATGTAAGTGGTATATAAAATATTAATACAAATAATAAGACACATAAATCTTTCTTAATGAGATGCAGGTAATCACAAGTGCTTGTTACATTCTTTCTTATAAATATGTCCAACTTTGTTATTTTCTTACTATATATTTATATATACATATTCTTACACTTTACCATATTATCATACTTTTTTTTTTAAAGACTTATTTTATTTTGTATTGCAAAGACAGATATACAGAGAGGAGGAGAGACAGAGAGGAAGATCTTCCGTCCAATGATTCACTCCCCAAGTGACTGTGACAGCCGGTCCTGTGCCGATCCAAAGCCAGGAGCCAGGAACTTTTTTTCCCAGGTCTCCCATACAGGTGCAGGGTCCCAAGACTTTGGGCCAACCTTGACTTCTTTCCCAGACTACAGGCAGGGAGCTAGATGGGAAGCAGGGCTGCCGGGATTAGATCTGGCGCCCATATGGGATCATGGCACATTCAAGAAGAGGACTTTAGGCACTAGGCCCATATTATTATATTTTTAATGTTAAATCTTAAGGCTCTTTCCCCAAAACAATTCTCTAAGGCTATTTCTGAAGGAAAATTGTACTTCACATTACTGCTGTATTACTTTCCTATAAAAAAGTATATAAAAAAAGTATCAACATGGAGGATGCAAGTTCAAGTGTCACTACTACAGGAGCAAATGTCAAAATGACTGATTAAAAGGGCCCGGCGTGGTGGCGCAAGTGGTTAAAGGTCCTCGCCTTGCACGCCTGGGATCCCATATGGGCGCCGGTTCTATCCCGGCAGCCCCGCTTCCCTTCCAGCTCCCTGCCTGTGGCCTGGGAAAGCAGTCGAGGACAGCCCAAGGCTTTGGGAACCTGCACCCACGTGGGAGACCCGGAAGAGGCTCCTGGCTTCGGATCGGCATAGTATCGGCCCGTTGTGCTCACTTGGGGAGTGAATCATCGGATGGAAGATCTTCCTCTCTGTCTCTCCTCTCTGTATATCCGCCTTTCCAATGAAAAAATAATAAAAATAAATCTTTAAAGAAAAAAAAAATGACTGATTAAAAAAAGTTCAAAGCTCTTCCCATTTTGAACAATCTAGTATATCATTTATCATAGTTCTTCAAATACTATGGCAAGAAAAGTCTCCCCAAGTAAAATTCTAAATCCTTTTAGAGATTTTAAAGCCATTTTATTATAAATTCCTGATACATTACACCCTTGGTTGTTTTTACCTCAAATATAATTTAGCAATGAGAATCATTTATGAAAAAAAAAAGTACTTAAAAAGGTATCAAAGTCATTAGCATAGGAATGCAAAGGCACTCACTAAGTGGCCACCCACTAAGTGGTCCAGCCAGGTCACAAGGCCGTCCCTGGAACTCCAGTAGGTCTCACGGCTCCACTGGGGCTCTGAGAGGTTTTTTGATCCCCTTCAAAGTGGCACCAACTGAACCAGCTCTTCTGAAAGAAATCTTTACAAATGATTTTAGCCGAATTCCTCTTCATATGGACCCACTCTGATGGCTCAGGGATGACAAGGAAACTCAAAGACTTAAACAAATGCAATCATGCATTCTTGAGAACCAACCTGATAAGCTACTGGCTTCACTCTACTATTAGTATGTACACATGTAAGATTTTAACTGATGAAAAACTCAGTAACATATTTATTTCATTAAAAGGACCAACAAATGGAACAAATATATTTTATTTTAACTACTCCAGCCCTGGACATGGCAGGGAAGGCCGCGGAGATGCACCCAGAACATTCAGCACCAAAGGGAAAGGCAGATGTTGAGTGCTCATAGCCGGCTGCTAGCACACCAGCCCCTGCCGCATCTGTATGATCTGAAGTAAGGCCGCCTGTACATCCTCATCCATGTGACCCTGGAGAGACATGAGAAAGGAGAGTGAGAACATTACAGACAAGGCTTTGTCACACAGCACGACTAACTCTCTGTCATGTGACTAAGAAAGTCAATTCATAAATCATGCACACCATGACTGCTCTTAATTTCAGTTAACAGGAAATAAATAGACACTCTGCCCCCTTTCATTTTTGTAATGATTCCAGTAGCCTAAGTGATTAGCAAGTAAACAAGGACTTTTTCTGTTGCTGCTCAAGCTTTGGTTTTCATTCACAAGAGTGACTGAAGAAAAACAAATCCCCATATCCACAGTTTACATAAACAGAACCACATGTCATATCATTTTGCAATGTGCTTTTAGAAAACACTTCCTACAGGTACTTAATTATTAGACAGTATCATATTCTAGGGATGTTTAAAATGTGCTTGTTCTTGCCCTAATGAAGAACATTTGAGATAATCCCAACCTGTTGGACAGAATCCCAACAAAAACCTTGCTGGGTCAAAGTGACTATTCATTTGAGGGGATGTACAGTAACTGTGAAATGGAGACTAACATATCCAGATGTGAGGATACAATGCAGTATGCATTTCTACTTCCAAAGATGGACTTATAATGAAATTGTTTACTAAATCCTGACAATAGGAGTCTGGACTCTGCCATTGTCCATGCCCACAATGATGGACATATGACTGTGTATGAAGAAGAATACTTTAGCAATGATATCGAAGAACTAGATGGGGGAGTAACTGGAGAGGGGTTAAGGAAAATATCAGGAGCCCATGTAACTGTATCATAAAATGATAAATAATAATAATTAAAAATTATTATGTTGGATAATAAAAACAGATTATTTTTAAAAAGCCAGGCTCAATTTTTAATTGTACCAAATCCTATGGAATTTCATTCCACTGCAATACATCTCTGCACGCACACAGTCACTCATTTCTTACATGCTGTGCCATCCTGTTCAACATCTGCCAGGCCTAATAGTCAAAGATGACACCTCCTATTCAACTGCACCTCCCCCACTACTGATGAAATGTCTTCTGACATGAACATTAACCAAGTGTATGTATATATATATATTTTTTTTTTTAAATATATAACACGTTACTATGTACGTATTTTTAATCTGACAGGCAGAGAAGACAGAATAGTTGTGAATGTCCATCACCTGGTTTATTCCCAAGTGCCCTGGCTGGGGTGGAAGCCAGGACACAGGAACTGAATTCTAGCTCTCCCATAGGATTGGCAGGAAACAATTATTGGGGGAACTATCTGCTGCCTCCTCAGGTCAACAGTGACAAAAAAGCTCGAGTCAGGAATAGAATCCACCCAGTATATCACAGGAAACAGGCATTTCAAAGTTACGGTAAATGCCTGCTCCTGCCACACAGATTTCAAAAGAAGCCATAAATTAAAAAAAAAAAAAAAAAAACGAGTAAGAGAATGATTAAAGGGAACTTAATATGATAGGCTTCCAAACCCACTTCATTTGTGTTTTGTTTTCACTGGAGTACAAGAATATGGTTCAGCACAACACTTCCTATTTACAGAAGTTTGGCTTCAAAATTTGTTTCTTTAACATTCGCATGTTTAAATTTCCAGCATTCATCTCAGCTGGCCTATCTGATTGTCTTGGGTAACTCTGATGCCAGAAGACAAGACTATTTCCAAGGTCAATTACTTTTGTTATGATTCATTACAATTTACTCAAAAATCATTTGAAATTTCAGCAGTGCTTACTGTACAAGTAGCAAGGCTCGTTGGCCGGTTGCATCTTTCAGTGGCCAACACGATGACCTCCTCACCTGTCCTACTACAGTTGTCTGCACTTTCCTTTTTCCTTCCCAATCATCCTATTCCACGGTTAACCAGTAGGCCTTTCTCAGGACTGCAATAAACAAAAGTTCCAGCCTACTTCGTACCTAATGAATCTTATCATCTTCTAATTCATTCATGTTGACTGGTTTTATCTCTATTGCTTATAGAATATGCCAGCCTATTGACTTTCAGATTTCTTTTTCTGATTTTATGTTGAGTTCTCTGTTAAAAGCTATCTTTGAAAATTTCTTTATACTTTTTTCCTTCCCTTCCATCTCTCTTTCATGTTTTTATTTAAACTGTGTCACCCAACCCAAATGGTTCTTCTTATTGCGCTATGGTTTACCATCAACACACATGGATTTGCTCATCTTCCTTAGAGAACTACTCTCAGAACTTTGGAGACACTTCTCACCTAGTTTTCATAAATCATTAAGTACAACATGCTTCATACTAAACATTTTTTATATTAACATATTTTATGATATAGTTCCACAGGTTCTGGGTTGCCCGTGCCCTTCCCCAAGGTCCCACAGTAAACATCTTCTTAGTGTGATGTTTTTCAACAGCCTTCTCAGTACACCCCTGAAGAAGGGCATAATCTGTGCTTTACTGACCCAAGACTGACTAAGACATTATTATCTCCTGAAAGACACACTTTTCTTTAAAGATCACAATTATATGCATGCCATTTTCATACTTCTCTAGCCCTTTCTGCACTTAGGGATTAGTCCTAAACTACCAAGGAACTTCTCTCCATGCTCTTCTCTGGGCTGACAGCCTTGCGATGATCACTACACTGATGATCCACAAGGTCCGGAGCATGGAGGTGGAGGTGAAGAGGTGATTACCAGGACCATCCTGCTGATAGCTCAGGCATTACTGCCAGCCAGGACACCGCAGCATGAGCTGCCATTATGTGTTGAAAAACTGTCTACACTCGGCGAAGGCTGGTAAGACAACTATGAACTTATGCTGCACCACCTACAGATTTGTAATTTTCCTGGGATATGAGCATCCCATGATGAAAAGAAACACAACTGCTTTTAAATATTGTTTTAAATAACCATATGGGGTAGTTATTTTAAATTATTGTCTATGGTACTGTTTCTAAAGAAGCAGTTCCTTACCTGCGCAGCACTAAGAAGGTGTGTCCGGTAAATTGCAATGACTTCTTGGTGCTGTCTGTCGGCATCCTAGAAATGTGGACAGAAGAAAGTATCAGCATTCATGTTCCCAAAGACAGCCAATGACAGTGCTGCCCCTAGGCCTGACATTACACGGCAGTATTACCAGGAAAGTGCATCTGCTGCTTTTTTTGTAACAATTCACCCAGAATCTGCCAGATGCAGGGGGCCCACATGACAACAGAATGCCCTTTACCAGTGAGCGTGTGGGGACACGCTGAGTAAAGGCAGTGCCACTCACTCTAGGTGACTGGATATTCTTGCCTTCTCACATGCAAGGCAATGCCTGAGCAGACACACACTTCCTCGGCTGTGGGTCAGGGACACAGCTCCCCAGCTCCTTAACCCACAGCTACACCGTGCTCAGCTCAAGCTTCTGAGGCTGAGGGAGCTCCTTCCTCACATCACTTTGGGCTTAAAAACCTCAGGGACGAATCAGAGTCATCAATGGCATCCTCAGTATGGCCTCAGATATAAGCATCCCTCAAAAACCTCACAGACTATGGTATTGAAATATATTTATTCTGGGGCAAAAGCATTTTGAAACCATGTGTATACATCAGTTCCTATTCACAGGCAGGCCATAAAGTTTACCCTGGGCCTCTATTTGCATTTTGCTTTACCCAGGAAGACCCTCCCCTTACTTAGGAAAACACCACTTATTTTACATATTCAACACCAACACTCCTCTCCCCTTTAAAAACAAATCCTACAATCCCAGTTCTCTTTCCTGAACCTGCTCAGGTAGGAGTGCGTCCCTTAAGATCATGTGTTGGAGTCTTAGTTCCCAGTGTGGAGAGGTTTAATCCTCATGGTTCAGGAATGGGGTCCTAGTGGAGGACGGCTTTGGCTCTGCCCTGGCTCAGGAATGGGGTTCCAGTGGAGCACAGCTGGCTCTGCCCAGGATCAGAAATGGTTTCCCAGTGGAGGATGGCTTTGATTCTGTCTCACTTCCTCCTGCCACATGACCACCCGCTTGAAACTCCTCTTGAGGGATGTGGCCCCTTGATCATGGCTCTTCAGCCTCCAGAAACATACACCAAATACTTCAGTTCACTCTAAACCTCCTAGGTGTTGGTATTGTAACAATACAAATGAACTAAGAAAAAACCTTTATCACTTAGAACCACTACAGTAGTTTCTTTTTTTATATATAAAATTTGCTTATTCGTTTGACAGGCAAAGGGACAGAGAAAGGCAGTAAAAGAGCTTGCAATGACTAGCTCATTTCCCAGATGCCTGATAGGAGCAAGGTACCAGGGCAGTCGAGGCTGGCAGCATGGTCCCCTACAGAGCTGGCAGGAGACCAGCTGTGCGAATCTTCACTGTTGCCTGCCGGGCACTCACCAGCAGTCAGAGTAAGGAATGTAGTTTCTGGCATACAATGTGCACCAAATAAATATGATCAAAAAACCAGTTTATCAGCAACGTTTAGCAAAAATAACTCTGTGTGTAGATCTGGATCTTTCAGGCAGCCTAACACACACTTGCCCCCAGGAGCCACCAGGAGAAGCCTCTGGGTACTCACGGCCAACTGTTGCCTCAGTGACTTCACTTGGTGCTGCAGACTGTCGATGAGCTGACTCTGCCTCTTGGTGGGGCTGCCACTCGCGTAGGTGAGTTGGGAAAGGCCGTTGAGCGCCTGTTTCAGCCTTTCTACATCATTCAGCAGTTCAGTTATCTTTTTAAAAGAGGAAATGGTAGTGAGAGAAACACAAATCAATTTATCCAATTATGAGGAACATCTTTGCACAGAAATAATTTCTGAAGCAGAAACTTCATCTTTATATTTAAAAAGTGAGGTATAAATACTGCCAAGATGTTCACAGTATATACACTATACTTCTATTTCTGCAACTAAACTCATCTCATTATATACCTTGCAAAAGAAATATCAAGAATTAATAAACAGAGAATCAAGATGGCAGAATAGGATAAGGACACGTTTAAACGGATGCAGAAACATTCCATCAGGATGAAGCACAGAGGACACAGTCCAGGAAATAGGAGAGGATAGAACAACAGCAGAGGGGTACCTGGAGACTGACAGACACAGGAAAGCAGCAGACACAACGGTGTGGTGTTGCAGTGACTGATACTCCAGCAGCATTCAGCTAATGTCAATCTGAACTCCACCAGCAGCCGGAACTCCACCAACAACCAGGTGGAAAGGGACTTTCACTGGGAGCTTGGGAGGTGAACCCAGACAAAGAACTCTCCATCCTGCTGATCTGTTTGATTTGACCAGGAGCAGAGACAGAGCAGCAGATCCCAGATGGGCAGTGCGAGAACAGGGTGGATTTCTGCCCAGTCTGCCCCCTAGAGCCGAACTGGGTGCCATTTTGCCTAATGAGGCAAAGGCAGGGAAAGGACTGAGCATACGCTGAGCTGGGAATGAACTCGTTTTTGACTCAGTTAACTGCATCAATGCAGCAGGTAGCTACAGGGCTACCCAAGACAGGTCTGGGTAGCCCTCAGACCTGACAGCCAACAGATCAAGAACTCTAGTAGTGGTACATCAGGCACCATTTTATACACTGTGGCAAAAGCCTTAGGACTGCAGGGGATAACGGTGAATTGTGCATGTGCTGAGCTCTTGAGAACTCACTGAGTTCCATGGATTGCACTGGTCCCACAGGAAAATAATACCGCCTGTGGCATCGTACAGCTCAAAATAGGTCCATGTGGCACCCAGACCTAACATCCAACAGGTTCCGGCAAGATCAGCACCAACAACAACCTAATTAGATAGGATACCTGGTGTCTCCCTAATCCTGGGACCTGCTGCAAGTGGAAGTGGGAGAAAGGTTGTACAGACAACGGTGCAGCCTCAGCACAGTATCACAGGGGAGGAGAGTGGTGAGCCAGGACTTGGGACTACAGAGTTCTTTGTGGAAATCTGACATAAGAACCCAGACCTGGAACTTGCTGGAGGGAGTGGCACAATTGGCTGCAAGCAAAGAGTTGTGTACCAACTGCAATAGGTAAAATCACATTGTAGACCTGTGGGTGACAGAGCTTTGAAACCTGCTCCAAGGAGAAGACTCTGCTAACCAGAAGTGCAATGACCAAGAGCAAAAGAAGAGACAAAGGCACAATGAATATTGCTGAAAACTCCCCTGCAAGGGAAGACATTAGAAAATGGGCAACACAGAATTCAGAAAACTCATTTTAAAGATTCTGATGAACAATGAGAAGCACATACAGGAGTTCCAAGAATTTCAGGAATATTTTACACAAGCAACAGCAGCAATAAAGCAAATCAAGGCTGATATATCAGAAATTAAGAACACAATAGAGCAAATTAAAAGTACAGTGGAGAGTCTCCAAAACAGAATGAGGCAAGCAGAAGAAAGAATCTCAGAATCGGAAGATATCTCCTGTCACCAGGGGGAAGCAAACAAAAAGCTGGAAGAAGAGCTGGATCAGGACAAAAAAAGTATTCAAGAATTGAAAGACACTATTAAGAGGTCAAATATAAAAATTATGGGAGTCCCAGAAGGGGCAGAAAGAGAAACTGGTTTTACAAATATGTTTAATGAAAAAAAAAATAAATATGTTTAATGAAATAATAAAGGAAAATTTCCCTCATCTAGAGAAAGAATTGGGAAACAACATATAGGAGGAGCACAGAACTCCCAACAGGCCTGATCAAAAGCGATCTTCACCAAGACACATGATGATCAAGCTCTCTTCAATCGAACATAAGGAAAAGATCCTTAAATGTGCATGTGAAAAAAATCAATTACATATAAAGGAATGCCAATTAAACCCACAGGAGATCTCTCACAGGAAACTCTACAGGCAAGAAGAGAATGGAGTGACATATTCCAGATCCTGAAAGAAAAAAATTGTCGGCCTAGAATAACATACCCAGCAAGGCTGGGTTCTCACTCACCCAGCTACCTGGCAGGAAGCATTAATAACTGCTTCTCAAACTGACAAACAACATCAGTCATCAACATCTACATTTGACCAATTTGCTGCAAATACCAGTTTCTAGGCTCTTGAGTACTTTTTCTGCAAACTGCCCCATGAGTATGGAAGACAGGAAGGAAGAAGTTATACACCTTGCTCTAAAAAGATGGCTGAAGATTAAGCACATGATTTGAACACTGTGATATACAGTTTCAATGGGCGGTAAAGAAGGGAGTGAGGAAACAAAGAGGAAAGCAGGGAGGGAGGGAAACCATGCACTTTGCAAGAACCGTGCAGTCAGGTTAGATTGCTCAAAGAAGGTAGCAGGTGAGAGAATAAAGTGTCTGAGGATTCGACTTAGTGAAAAGACAGGACAGGGTAGCCACGGGCCAGGAGATTAGTCTGCAGAATGACGGACCTTGGCTCAGTCTGTGGAGACAAGTGAGCCAAGATCAAGCCTAGGATGCACGCTCCCTGGGGTCAGGGTTCCTTGTGACAAAGAAACAGCTTTTAGCTCGTCTCCTCTAACCCCATTGCTTACATGGCACAAATCACTGGATCCCCAATGAAGCAACTAAACCCTTGTCTCCCCATGTGCCAGCAATTCTTAGCGGCTCCAACTGCAGCAGCAGAAACAAAACTGCTTTTGACATTGTTAATTCCGTTTTAAAAAAAAAATCAGAATTCTTTGCATAGCAGAGGTCAACGGGACAGGTGGCCTGTTTTAGCAGTACAGTGAGTCTATCTATGGGATGTGATGAGGGAGTCCCATTCCCCTACCCTGCCAGGTCCGTACTGGCATCTCTGATAAGCGGCCACGGAGACTTGTTTGATGCTTACCTTGTCGTCTTTGGCTTCGAGCTGTTTAGCAGATTCTTGTATTCTTCTCTGTAGCTCAGTGACCGTTGTTAGGGACCTATCGCATCGTTCCTTCTGATCCTGGAGTTCCTGTTCAATGTTGAAATGCACCAATTCCTTCTCCTCATTTGGGGAAAGCTCCTTCATCTTCTCACGCAACCTCTCCTCACAGACTTCCTCATACTTTCGATTCAAATTGGCCAGTTGTTCATTTAAGTTGGAAATCTGAGCCTCTAAGTCTCTTTTCATTGTGTTATACTTGGACAAATCAACTACCTCTCTGGCTTCCAGCTGTCTGATCACCTGCCGAGCCCTCTGAACCTCGGTCTGGAGTTGGGAGACTTCTTCGGTTCTGCTTTGGTTCTCCTCTTCCTTTTCTCTCAGACGAGCCCGGATGAGCCCAACCTCCTCCTCCAACGTTCCCTTCACCTGCAAGTGCTCTGTCAGGGCCACAGAAGAGTTCTTCTGGTTCTCCAGTAGCTGACGCAGTGTGGCCACTGTCTGCTGCTCTTCCTCGAGGCATTTCTTCTTCTTCTTCAGTTCTTGCTCTAGATGCTCTATTGTGCCGTTAAGGCTGCTCTTCAGAGCCTCCACCTGTTCCACAGGGATGTGCTGTTTCTGCAGAAGACTGTGCACTGCAAGCATCTCAGAGGTCTGTTTGGCACTGGTTTCTACCAGCTGCTCATTCTCCTTCTTGACCTCTGCGTATTTCTGTGACAGGTCATTGACCTGCTTGCTTAGCTCGTCAGCTTTTTGGCTGAAAGCTCTTTCCTTCTCTTGAGAATTCTCAATCAAAATACCCTTAGTCTGTAAATCTTTCTCAAGAGCCAAGATATCCTTCTTCAACTTGTCATTCTCCTCTTTGGTTTTCCTAGTCTCTTCCTCTCTGATCCTAGACTTCCGTGCCTGCTCTGATAACTGCTCTTTCAGCTCTTTCTCAGTGGCTTTGAATTTGCGCTCACACTCTTCAAAGCTGATGATGGGAGCATATTTGAGCTTGATGCACTCCTGTATCGTGTCCAGCTCCTTTTTCTGGGCTTGAATTTCAGCATGCAGCGTGGTGATCTCCTCCTGACCTTTTTTGTAATCAGCCATCATTTCTGCCCTGTCAGCCTGTGCCTTCTGCACGCTCTCTCGCAGAGCACTCACCTGTGCCTCGTGCTCTTCTAGGCGGATGTACTCGGCCTTAATGTGGTTCTGGGTGTTCTCCAGGTTTCTCTTCAATACTTCATTTTCGTCTCTCTTTTTTAAAAACTCTTGGTTTGACTGTTCCAATTTTTTCTTCACATCCAACAATTCTCTCTTAGTTTTATCTAAAGTGTTATTCAGCGCCATTTTAATCTCTTCATGGGTCTTGGTTGGCACATACTGGGTACTCAGAGTCTTTTTCAAGTGAGCGTTTTCGGACAGAAGCGCACGTATTTTCTCTTGACCTTCATCACATTTTTTATGAAGTTCAGACAGCTCTTTTTGAAGTTCAGCAATACTGGATTTCAGAGCCATTAGCTCTTTCTCATGTTGCTCAGGAGGTACATACACAGTTTCCAAATGGCTAACATTCTCACGTAAACTGTCATTTTCCAGCTGCAATTTCTCTGCTACCAACTTCTTTTCTGTGTATCTTTGTGTTATGTCTAAAAGCTTCCTATTCAAATCCTCGATATCCACATCATGTGATTTTTTCAGTTCTTGGTTTACTGTTAAAGGGACATATTGAGTTTTGATTTCCATTGTTAGATTGTGCACTTGCTGGTTGAGGCGTTTATTATCCGCACAGACTTTTTCCATTTCTTTTCGTAAAGTCTCGTTTTTCACTGTGAATTCGGTGAGCTTCTTCCCAAGCTCTCCCGACTTCTGCTCAAGGCTGCTCTTGAGCTGCTCGTGTTCCTCTGGTCTGATCCGCAGGGCAAGTTTGGCCTTCACATCCTCGAGTTCCCTCTTCAACTGCTTGATTTCACTGACTGACTTTTCATAGTCTCTTTGTGTCTCCACTAGCTTTTTTGCTTTCTCATTCACCTCACTGGATAACAAGCTTTTCATGCTTTCAAATTTTTCTTTTGGAATAGAAAGGGCCAACTCTGCTGATAATTCTTTCAGCTGCCCCTCCATCTCTAACACCTTCCTCCCTTTCTTCTCTCGGTCCATTTCACACAGACTCATGTTCTTTTGCAATCGTTTATTTTCTTCTATCAGCTTGCTCTCACCCCTCTTCCACTCTTCCACCAGCATCTCATTTTGTTGGATCTGATTTCTTAACGTGCCTACTTCAGCCGCGGCACCTTCGTACTTGGCTTTCATGTCTTTCAGCTGCTCCTTCAGTTCCTCGGTGAGCCTGAGACTCCCAGTGGCTGCCTCATTTGTTAAGTGCTCTTTCAGGGCCAGAAAATGGGTCTGCATTTGTTTAACTTTACCTTCTGACTCATACATCCTCTTCTGCACGTCCTTTAGTGCATCTTCCAGCTGCTTGATCTGCTCATCTGAGTCCTCCTTGACCCTCTCACGTTCCAATGCCAGGGCTTTGCACTCAGCCACCTTGTGAGCCAGCTCATTCTGCAGCTTGAGTCGGTCTTGCTTTGCTGAATCACAAAAAGTTCGCATTGCTTCTAATTCTTTCTTTAAAATTTCATTTTCCGAGTACGAGCTTTGGTTGGGGGAAGATAGCTCCAGAGGTCTTAACATGGATCTGCTTTGCATGTGGGCTGCCATGCCTGAGGAAGGACACTGGAATGGGGGGAAAAAGATACCAGTCACAAAAGTCTGAAGGAGATACCCTCCACACTTACCAAACTTTCAGAACTTTTAACATCACCAGTAGTCAAAGCAGTAAAGCAGCTGGACTTCAACCAACCAGCATCCAAATAAGATCAGCACAACAACATCTCCATTATGCCACAATGTCAGCCCCAACAGCTTCTCATTTTTGACAAAAGATCATGTACTATAAATATATTTTATTAATAGGTTTCACTGTTACTTTAATCTTAGCTGCCTTACTTAAGATACATATATTTTAAAAATGGTAAGAAATCATTTCGTAGGTATGGCTTCCTGTTAAATCATCTTTCACTTTAGCAGTTAATTTTAGAGTAAGACTATCAAACTCTGAATCTACTGGAAAGAAAGGGGAAGGAGTAGATTTTTTAAAAAGTTAAAAAAAAATGGGACCATACTCTCCCTTGAAAGCTTTCTTCACTTTGATATGAATTTCTAAAACACAGAATGTGTACTTAATTGTAAGGAAAATAGATTGCAAAGCTAAAACATTTTGATTATTTATAACTGGCTGCCCGTTTATATGGACAAATATGAAGAGTTAAAAGATCATTGCTGCAGAACAGAGGTTTACTAGCAAAGACAACACTGCAATTCTACTCACTGACTGAACACACTGTCATCATAAATATTCTACAAGGAACCAGAAACACCATCTTTTCCTTTTATAACTAAACACAAGAAGGTAAGACCCACTTTGATCATGAAAATCTGACTTATACACTTAATTTTAGATACAATGCTTTTCACTCTATATGAAGACCCAAATATTTTCATTCAATATTTTAATAAAATTTAAAGCCACAATACTACCTGTGAGTCGGTCATATATATTTGGCCTTGTTTAAGAAGTATATCTTCTTTTCCTAAATAGATGCAATTGAATAACATTAGTTAATATATCACATTAGTCTAAATAAGCACTTTTAAGGAAGGTACTATGAATTTAAGTTTGATTCTTTATTATTCAAACATAGGAGAAACACGTACAACATAAATCATCATTAGTCTAAATATCCGTACCATTTCCTTATTTGAGAGAGAGAGAGAGAAAGGGAGATCTACAGCCTAGTGAAGAATATCATGTATATCTCTAAATGTATGTAATGCTTTTGGACTAAACAAGCGTCATGATTATTATGTTATCTTACTCTTATTCACAATAAAAATAGCATTCTTAAAGCTCATCAGACTTTCTAGAGAAACTACATAAAATAGAAATAAAGTTATAAAATTAATGATGGAGAGTATTAAAATAATGAAAAAATAAATGCTTGTGGAACTTGTGTTTTTAAATTTTCTTCCTCCCATAAGAAAGAAGCCCCAAATTTCACACAATGAAGATCTCATAAGCAGTATGGCAAACTGTCTAAACCACACAACACAGAGGATAGAAACAGAAGAGGCTGAGCAACCTCAAAGCCTCAGAGACCACCGAGCTCGTCCTAGTGTTCCCAGCGCAGTGCCCATGTTCAGTAGCAGCTAATTTATCAGGAACAGTGAGACAAATCAACAGGCATGGATGTGTTCCTTTGCTTGAACTGAATGAATAATAAACCGTATTTTACACTTACGATTACTGAAGTGACTTCCTGGTCCTAAATGATCACTCTGAAAGCAGAAGCACAAATTAAGCCATGTTAGTGTATGCTGCTCCATTCTGTCATAACCACACCATTACAATCCTCACTTCTCATCAGTCCAGTTGCACAAAATGAGAGCATAAGCCACAACAGAGAGATCAACTAGGAATAAACTACTAAGCAGTTGAATAAAAGCAGCCAGGGACCTATTCTGTGGCTCAGTAAGTTATGCCTCCACTTATGATGATAGTATCCCAAATGGGACTACTGCTCAACTTACAATCCAGCCCCTGTTAATGTGCCTGGGAAAGCACCAAATACGGCCCCAGTCCTAGAGACCCTGCCACTCATGTGGAAGAACCAGATGGAGTTCCTGACTCCTGGCTTTGGTCTGTCCATCCCTGGCTGTGCAGGCATTCAAGGAACAAACTGGGAGAGACAAGATCACTCTGTCTCTCTCTTTCAAATAAATACATTTTTAAACAATAAAACCAGGTAGGCAATCAAGGAACACTTCATTGCCCTGCAGAGGGAAAAAAAGTGAGGCCCAATAGAATGAAAAATATGTAGTGTCTGCTGCTACTCTACCTCAGAAGGAAGAGGTATCGCCTTCATGCGAGGGACTCTCTTATATCACCACCAGGCATCGCTTCTCGGTCTTTTGGCTAAGATCAAGTGTAGTATCTGTTCTTATCAGTTTAATATCACCACCAGGGAGCTGAAACCTAATCCATCTCACTGACTGCGACATGTGATTTAACCCTTTGTGAAATTATGAAATATCAACTACTGTCAAAGTCAAAAGACTTAATGTGATTTACCAAAACTGGTCAAAAAAAAAAAAAAGAAAGAAAGAAAAATGAAAACCTGATTCAGTAATTGTTGGAAAGAGACGAATAGGTAAAAAGGAAAGGCCAAGCCCCAGGACCATACAACTTGACCAGCGCCAACTCTACTTAAGCCATTGTTTGAAAGAGAACCCTCTAAAAATCATTCTCTTGAGGATAGCATGATCTTAATTTCAAAACCAGACGATGACACAATTCATAAAACTACAGACCAATATCCTTGATGAACACAGATGGTAAGCATTCCTAACAAAATAGTAGTAAACATAACTTCAACAACAATCAAAAAGGTCATCCGTCTTGAAGAAGTAGGATTTATCTCAGGAATGCAGGGATGGCTCAACATTTGCTAATCAGTAAATGTGAGACACTACAGAAGATGAAAGTTATAGAAGCAACACAACAGAAACAGAGAAAGTACTTGAGGAATCCCATTGATAATTTTTAAACAGCTAAAAAAAAAAGTCATATATAACTAACATGCCATAATACAATAAACACAATATTATGTCAAGCCCATAGCCAGTATCATATTGAAAGGAAAAATGCTAGAAGCCTTTTCACTAAAGACCAGGAATCAGATAAGGATGTTCACTGTCACCACTTATTCTCAATATAGCCTTGGAAGTTTTGGTCATGGCCAATACTCAAGAAAAAGAAATCAAAGGAACACAAATGGGAAAGGAAGAAGTCAGTTATCCCTATTTGCAGATGACATGACCCTTTATAGAAGGCAAACCAGGAGACTCCACCAAAAGACTGCCAGAACTGTAAAAGGAATTCTGCAAAATCGTGGAATACAAATCCAACTAAGTTCCTATAAACCATAATACTCTGGCTGTGAAAGAACTCAGAAAAGCAATCACATACACAATAGTTACCAAAAATCACTAAATCAATAAAGGAAGGAAGGAAACAAACAAACAAACAAACAAACAATCCTTGGGATAAACTCAGCAAAGGATAAGAAAGATCCCTACAACGAAAATTATAAACCACTAATAAATGAAATAGAAGACTAACAGGCCCTGTACAGTAGCCTAGTAGATGAAGCTGTTGTCTTGGTGCACCAGGGTTCCATATGGATGCTGGTTTGTGGCCTGGGAAAGCTGTCAAGGCCAGCGTACTGTCCATGTCCCTGCACCTGTGCGGCAGACCCAGAAGAAGCCCCTGGCTCCTGGCCTCAGGTTGGCTCAGTTCTGGCCATTGCGGTCACTTGGGGGAGTGAACCAGCAGATGGAGGATCTTTCTATCTCTCCTTCTCTCTGCAAATCGGAACTTGTAATAACAATGGATGGAGAGACAGAAGAAAGGAAGGAAGGAACAGAAGGAAGGAAAGAACAGAAGACTATCAAAAAATTTAACAATCTGCCACACTCACAGATTGCAAGAATTAATATTACCAAAATGTTCACATTACCCAAAGCAATTTACTCAAGTCCCATTGTTAAGAGATGGGCCTTCTGTCAAATCACCACTGCATCAACATTCATGCAAAGAAGGGCAGGTAATGAGCCCCAACAGTTTGTACCCCCCTTCCACTTCTTGAGGACACAGCAAAAAGGCCCAAACACCAGCACTTTCACCTGTGACTGTTCAACGGCCAAAACCCTGAGAAACAAATTTCTGGTTGTTTATAATTATCCTGTCTCTGGCACTTGGTTAAGGCAGCACAAACACCCCAAGGCTCTTACTGTTCGACATACGTCTGAGACACTCTCTCCTACCAGGCTAAAAAGACCCATGCTGAATCAGGAACATGCCTCAGCATCCTCAGTGATGACACACAGTGTACGGACAGTCCTGCAGCTAACAGCAAAGGAGGGACTGGAAACAAGCAGCAGGTGAGGAGGACTTCGTGGGCTGGTGATGCCTGGTTTCTAGATCTGCATGTGCCCAGCTCTGGAAACTCACCTACTTTGATTATGGTTCCCTCCTAAAGGATGCTACTGCTCAACAAAGAGTTAAAATTAAAAAAAAAAAAAAATCTTCTGTAATGGCCCCAACCCAAAGTGAGTATATGCTCTTAACATACATTGCTCTCACCAGTGTCCTGACTATCCATATATACACAGTCCTTTCCGCAATGAATGTCAACGGACCATTGCTCATTTATGATACTTGATCATCCTACCTATCAACACCAGTGCCAATCTAGACGTAAAAACATAAACTGTGAAAAAGTTTGGACAACCAAGAACTCAGGGGAAGAAACCCAGGAAGACAAGCAAATGTCCATTACACGTGGCCAACTGAAAGGATCTCACTTGACTTTCGCAACTCAGTGGAGAAAGGGGCCAATCCCCAGTCATCGCACGCCCTCCACCCCAACCACCCCCAATTTTGCCCGAGGGGAACAAGCTCAGGACCTTCCACAAGCTGCCCCAGTCACACTACAAACAACAGGTCAAGTCTGAAGCCAAACCCTTTATCACTACTCAGGATGAATTAGAGGAAATAATTTTTTCTATACCTCAAAATATTTAAATCTATTTTTCAGAGTCTCAATAGTTCTTAAGCTTTCCTCATGTTGCTTTTCTTTGGCTGCCAAGAGGGACTTCAGCTTTTCTCTCTGAAATAGAAAGGAGCAAATACAGAGTAAAATCATGTAGTGCTTGCAACTGGGTTAAAATACGTGTTACAAAAGGTAAACCGGAAGCACTGTGGAGGTGAGAATTACTGACTTCCAACCTGGTGGAGTTTAACGTTGAGTACAACTGGTAATGAAACGGGCTATACAGACAAGTAACACTTGGAAAACTCAAGCCTCTACCGTCTGTTTTAAGTCAGTACACTCAGACATTTTCTTTACAGTTAGTTTTCCATCTTTCAGTGACATGTTTTACAGAAATGGACATTCAGAGGCAATAAATACAAAACCACTGTGGCCATATTTCCTCTACTGTCTCATGCAGGCTTCGTTTTTTCCCTTCAAGCAAGGACCACAAAGAGAATCCTGGCCTCCATCTCAATTCAAGATTTACACCTCAATGACAACATGGATGTGTGTGATGGTTTTATTTCAGGCCCTTGTCATAAGGAAATAAGCCTTCTCAGGGCTGATACAAATGAGGTACACAACGTGATAAAGAAAGTGATCACACACAGACAAGGAGCATGGACTGCCCTGCACAGAGAAATGCCCGTCATGAATGGGCAAGTGGCCACAAAATTGGAAACCAGGCAAAACTGGGGAGAAAAGACAGAGAGGGGCCAACAATCCCTTCCCACTGTGATCTGTGGGAGGTGAGAGTGCCTCGACACATGTGAAGCCACCTGCATAAACTCCAGATGGCGCTCAATATTCATCCTGTCATCTAGCCTCTTCCCGGAGGAAGCAGGAGGAGTTCTGATAGTGAAACAGGAAGTATGTCACCACATGGGGTCACATCATTTCCAGCTCATCACATCTACGTGTATGCCTCACCCACATCGTTATTCTCAATTTACAAAACACGCTTATCCCTTTAAAGTAAAATTCATCATTTTACCTCACTTTCCAGATCATCAGCAACCATCACTTCCTAAATTTAAAAAGAAGAAAGGTATTTTAATCCCTGAAACCTTACTTTAAAAGACATGAGCTTGTCAGACACCTTTTCATAAGACCAGCTCATGAGTGTGTTAAAGCACCTATGCTCCACCAGCTTGCTGTGAGAATTGCTCCTCGCTCTTCCTGCTGCCCAGCTCGGGAGCAATTCTGACCTCCGTTCCTAGCTGCTCCTCTTAGCCGCCACCTGTCCATTCCTCACTCATAACCCTGCTGCTTCTCTCCCAAAATGCCAGGAAACAGTTCTGTCTATTCTTAGTATAATACAGACAAATGATTACTAATTGCATTCTTCTGTTTTAACTTCTTTTTGGTAAAACATATATACAAATGCATATACAATGCCCTACTTCTCTTAGCATTTTATTAAAAGATTTATTTTTACTGGAAGGTAGATTTACAGAGAGGAGAGACAGAAAAAGATCTTCCGTCCACCGGTTCACTCCCCAAGTGTCAGCAACAGGTAAAAATGAGCCCATCTGAAGCCAGAAATGAGGAGCGTCTTTCAGGTCTCCCACGTGGGTGCAGGGTCCTAAGGCTTCGGGCCATCTTTCTCTGCCCTCCCAAGTCACAAGAAGGGAGCTGGATAGGAAGTGGAATAGTCAGGAGACAAACCAGTGCCCATATGGGATCCCAGTGCTTGCAATGGGAGTATTGGCCAATTGCGCCAGGCCCTTATATCAGTATTTTAATAAATGACTGCTCGTCTGTGTCATTATTCCTGCACATATAAAAGAAAAATAACATTTTTATTTTACACTATAATGCTAATGTTGTTTAAAGCCCTAGAGAACTCCTAGTGGCACTGGCATTACTGCCTTTGAACAAAGGTTGCATCAGGTACCTGGAGGCAGCCCTTCTTCCCTCAGCCAGCACAGTCCCAGTGCTCGACTACAACCAAGCCAACCTCTTGTGCCAGAACCATAGGACTAAAGCACTTCCAGACTCCTGATCTCAGTGAATGTGTACAAGCTAACAGGCATCTGCTTAAGCTGCCAAGTTTGAGGGTAACTCATTACAAAGCAACAGAGGACCTATAATTCACCTGGCACATCTGAAATTATCTATTTCAAATTCTATCATTTCAAATTCTATCATTTTCAAATTCCAGTGAATATTTTTTTCTTCCAAATTCTGAAAGTGTTGCTGCACCATCTTCTTGTTCAAAGGTTTTAGTCAGAGATTCAAAGATATTCTGATTTCTGAACATTAAACACAGCACTTGAGAGAGAGAGAGATTGAGAGAGAGAGAGAGAGAGAGAGAGAGAGAGAGAGAGAGAGAGAGTGTGTGTGTTCGGGGTGCTTTGTAAGGCCTTCTTTGGCCTCAGTAACTTGAAGTTTCACAATGATGCCTCAGAACAGCCTTCACTTCATCCACTGTTGGTGTTGGAAACTGAAAACATCTTTCAGTTCAGGGAAATGTTGAGTTACCCCAAGGATGACTTTTTTTCCTCTATTCTCTCAGCAACAATGACTTAGACACTGGACTTCCTGCTGTCCAGTATCCCTACTGTTTTCTATTTTCCAAGCCATTATCTTTTCCCAACACCTAGAAGACACTTCATCAGCTTAAGTTTTGCTATCAGGATGTTTCTTTTCTAAAACACCCTGTTCTTAATTAATAGATAATGATATCCTCTTGTCTCATTAAAAAATATCAGGCAAGTCTAGGTTAATTTTTGCTTTTTTGTTTTTTGAGATGTGAAAACAGACAGACAGAAATCTTCCATCTCCTGGTTAACTCCCTTAGTGCCCAAAATAATTGGCTGGAACCAAAATCAGGAACCAGGAACTCATCCAGGCCTCCCACACAGGTCAGAACCTAAGTACTACAGCCATCACTGCTGCCTCCCTGGCTCACATTGACAGAATGTCAGAATCAGGTGCTCAAGTTGGGTGCTGAACCCAGGCATGCTGGTGCGCGACATGGCCTCATAAACAGGACCCTAATCAACACGGGATCCTTAGGAAAAACACACCCCGCCCCCACCGCCAAGTCCTGTTAATGCACGATGCATTTCTTTCGAGTTTCTCCCGTGTGTGGAGCCTCCATCTTAACACAGCAAAGAGCTCAGTTACCTGGCATCCTGGTGTCTACCTCCATTTAAGAATGGGTTACTAGGGCCCCAGTGCAGTGGCCTAGCAGCTAAAGTCCTCGCCTTCAACGCGCCAGGATCCCATATGGGCGCCGGTTCTAATCCAGGCAGCTCCACTTCCCATCCAGCTCCCTGCTTGTGGCCTGGGAAGGCAGCCGAGGACGGCCCAAAGCCTTGGGACCCTGCACCTGTGTGGGATATCCAGAGGAAGTTTCTGGATCCTGGCTTCGGATCAGCATAACATCGGCCATTGTGCTCACTTGGGAGGTGAATCAATGGACGGAAGATCTTCCTCTCTGTCTCTCCTCCTCTCTGTATATCTGACTTTCCAATAAATAAACAAATCTTAAAAAAAAAAAAAAAGGAATGGGTTACTAAAGAGCTGACTGGGAGCTCTAAAAAGGTCTTAACTGCAAATAATACCCCGACTCATTAAAGAATTTCCCTCACAGGCTCTGAGAATCCTTTGAGAAGTCCTCCAGACTCGTGCGTGGCTGGGGAAGAGCTCCCCAGGGTGTTCAGTAACCAGGCAGGGGGAGGTTGGGAGGGTCTAACACAGCACCAGTGGTTTACTTGGTCCTGTATGTCCTGAATGTTCTACTCATTTCAGCACACTCAGGGACCTCACACAAAAAGAGACAGCTGGGGCCCGGCGCGGTGGCGCAAGTGGTTAAGGTCCTCGCCTTGCACGCCCGGGATCCCATAAGGGCGCCAGTTCTAATCCCGGCAGCCCCACTTCCCATCCAGCTCCCTGCCTGTGGCCTGGGAAAGCAGTCCAGAACGGCCCAAAGCCTTGGGACCCTGCACCCGTGTGGGAGACCCGGAAGAAGTTCCTGGCTCCTGGCTTCGGATCGGCATAGCATCGGCCATTGCGCTCACTTGGGGAGTGAATCATCGGATGGAAGATCTTCCTCTCTGTCTCTCCTCCTCTCTGTATATCCGCCTTTCCAATAAAAATTTAAAAAATTAAAAAATAAAGAGACAGCACTTCAGCTACCAAACCTCCCTTCATGCTCCTTAAAAGGAGAACAGAGTGGAGCAATTGAGGCTAAATTGCAGAATACAGGGGGTATAAGAATTTATTTCTTAAACAGATTTTTAAGCACTCCCAAAATCAGAAGTCTTTTCAGAGGATCTACTTTTTATGTCACTTGAGTTGCTCCACTGCTAGCCCCCACACTGAGATTTCAAGTTCTATTAAGCCACTTACTTTTAACCAGGAATTACCCCTACCAAAGCAGTACCTAATTTTTTAGCGAACAGTTTTCTTTTTTCTTTTTTCTTCACACATCTTACATCCATGTCTATGCTTTCCCAAGGCCAAGAATTAGCCTATATCTTTCCCCTGTGCTGTTTCATTTCTTGCCAGAAGTGTATTCTTAAGTAGTTCTTTTTTCCAAGGGACTAGAAGGGGAAACCTCTTAGATGGCAGAAATCTTAAAATGTCTTTACTCTGTCCTCATTCTTCGAAATCTAGGTGAAAGGCTCACTTTCATTCTGACGATACTGTTGGGTCTCTCCTTAACACTGATAAAATCTGCTGTCTGTCAGCGTGTTCTTTCTATGAAGATCCTGCTTTCAAAGCTGATGAGGCAGGGCTCCACATGTGGTATCTTGCCCTGCCTGTGGCCGGTAAGTATATGCAAATTTGCACAGTTGTTTGAAATCAAAACCTTCCTTATTCTTTAAAATTATCAATAACTATTTTCTTCCTATATGATTTGCAAGTGTTCTATGTTCTTTTCTTCCTTTGCCACAATTGGATGAATTTGTTACATTACCCGAATCCTTGGGTCCCTGCCACCCTCCCGGATGAGCTGGATGGAGTTCCAGGTTCCTGCCTCTGGCCTAGTCCAGAACTGGCTGGTGAAGCCATGTGGGTAACTAACCAGAGGAGGAAAGATCTGTTTCTCCTCTTCTCTAGATATTACCTTGCCCTTCAAATAAAGCAAACAAATCTTTTTTAAAAAATCACAAATTTGATTTTGAATATATTCAGCTTCAGGAAAATCTAAAACAAGCAGAGAATGAGGCAATAAAGAAAAATAGAATCATAAGGTCACAGTTGCACTATGACACACTTTGTACTATTGAAAAGGAAGCGTTACCCAAAAAGTTTACCTGTGACAAATCATGGGCATGATGAAATGTGCATTTAAAAAGTGAGACAAGGGCCTGGCATGGTAGCCTAGTGACTAAATCCTCGCCTTGCATGCACTGGGATCTCATTATGGGCACTGGTTCTAACCCTGGCAGCCCTGGTTCCTATTCAGCAACCTGCGTGTGGCCTGGGAAAGTGATCGAGGACCCTGAAGGCTTGGGACGCTGCACCTGCTTAGAGACCTGGAAGAGGCTTCAGGCTCCTGGCTTCGGATCGGCACAGCTCTGGCCATTACAGCCACTTGGGGGGTGAATCAATGGACAGAAAAATCTTCCTCTCTGTCTTTCCTCCTCTACGTATATCTAACTTTCCAACCAAAACAAAATCAATCTTTAAAAAAAAAAAAAAGGTGAAACAACTGGGCCCAGTGCAGTAGCCTAGTGGCAAAGATCCTACTGTTTTGCACGCACCAGGATCCCACATGGGTGCCAATTTGTATCCCAGCTACTCCACACTTCCCTTCAAGCTCCCTGCTCGTGGCCTGGGAAAGCAGTCAAGGACGGCCCAAAGCCTTGGGACCCTGCACCTGCATGGGAGACCCAGACAAGGCTTCTGGTTCCTGGCTTTGGACTGGCTCAGCTCCAGCTGTTGCAGCCACTTGGGAAGTGCACCAACAAATGGAAGATCTTTCTGTCTCTCCTCCTCTTTGTAAATCTGACTTCCAATAAAAAAAAAAATAAATAAGTAAAAAGTGAAATCATTACACTGTCACATATTCTCTCCTTTCCTTCTGAAAGCAATAATTGGTGCACTTTTTCTAGCTTTCCAGTTCTTTCAACACAGAATATCTTACAGATCACACCACTACTGTAGATTCTGTCGCCAGCCCTGCTCTCTCAAATGTCCCGACACCTCCTAGCTCCTGTCCATCCTAGCTCCAGGACGAAGAGGCCCTCACGGAGCTCCTCCTGCCGGCATGTCCATTGCCCTGATCTGCTAGTTTGCTGCAGGCCTTTCTATTTAACATGCAGTTTCCTGGAACAGCCTTGGTCACTAGGGAGACACGAATCTCCCGGAGGTCTGTGATCTGATGCTACCTCCTTCAGCATCCAGCTCCTGGGATTCTGAACGAACACCTTTTCAGCGATGAGGATCCCCTGTGCTGGAAGTCCTTGGATCTTTTTGTAATACAAATGATTTACCTCATTCAGTTGTAACTGCAAACCATTGACTTTGTCTACAAGTATCCTTTGCTCTTGCTGAATTTTTCTCAACCTCTCTTTCAAATCTTCATTTTCAATCTCCAAGTCCTTAAGTAATAAAGATAACATATTGTAGGGCAATCTTTAGAAACTCTTAGGAAACAAATTCTTAAAATCAGCACACTATGATTTATCAGACACATAAAACAAATAGAACTATAAAAATACAATAATTTCAGTGACACTCGGATGACTTAAAATTGGCAAGTCAGTAACATGAAAATCACTACTTGATGGTATCTGATAAGTAAAAGTACACACCTGGCACCAACTGTCATGTTTCCAGCAAATAAAAATATATATATACCAGCACATGGAAACAAAGCTTGCCATTCTAGCTTTCCCAAAGGTTATGAGCCCATGCTGATGTTTTGTTCCTCAGTGGGTACCCTGAGAAGACAGAAGTGGCTGCTGTTTTCAGGTTACACTTAGGGACAGGCAGTGGGCCTAGCAATGAAGACATCCATGTCGCACACGATTCCATATGTCCTGCATTCAGAGAGCCTGCACCGAATGCCCAGCTTTGAACCTAACTCAGCTCCCTGCTAACACAAACCCTGGGAGGAATGGTTGGCAGACCAAGCACCACCCACGTGGGAGACCCAAACTGGGTCCCCAATTCTGGCTTTAGTCGTCAACATGGGGGCATTTGAAAAGTAACCAACTGAAGGGAAACCCTGCTTCTTTCTGTCTTTCAAAAAAAACTTTTTTTAAAAAAGCTAAAGTTCATCTTGTCAACACTACAGAATAACCAAAGAAACACAGGTAAAAAGCTTTCATTATACAGAAATTATCCATTCCATTTGCAATTTCATTGTGTTGCAATCGCAAACTAAACTAAGTATGGATTCTCTTCTGACATAATCGACATAATTATTTTCAAAACATTCATCAAAATAAGAAATAAAAAAGTGTGTCTAATTTAGCCAAATTATTTTCCCTAATCAAATTTAGGAAGATTTTAAGGAAAAGTTCAGATGTTATTTTATCCACATTAATGACCATCACTTTGACCTTCATTACCTAATTTTTATTTAATTTTCCAATACGAATACAAACATGGTTTGCATCACTAAACAGGCATTTAATCAACAAAGGCTTAAATAAAATTATTTGCTTTCTCTTGTACATAGTTAACAAGACTTTCTAGAACACTCTCTAATGTCATATGACTTAATTACATAGGGCTGGCCCAAACACTGGTAACAAAATTCAATTCCTTCAGAAGGGACTAAGATAAAAAAAAAAAAAACCACTAGGAATCACAAATCGCAAGACACCTTACTTTCCCTGACGCATGCCACCCTTTCTCCATTTCTTGTTCCCTGACTTCTCCCCACCCCACCAACACCACCAGAATTCATGCCAAGGGGAAAGAACTCTTAAGGATTTCCTTTTTCCATTTTACCTGGATGTTTCGATGCTGCCTCTGATTTGATGTTGCATTTACTTCACCTTGCATAAGTGTCAAATTGCGCTTTGGGAAATATAAGTTGGCAGGTAAGTCTGTTTTCTCAACAACAATACGCCCAGTTAGCAGTTTAGTGTATCCAATATTAAAAATAGCTGCATACAACACAAGGTGGCAGTATTTCCACTTACAAACTCAAAACGGAACCTAGGTCCAGGACGATTTTGTATGCAGTCTGTACTACTTCTTGATTTTATTGAAGCCTTCTTCTTCTATTATTTTTTTTAACTTATTTTATTACGTTATGTTAAGGCATTTTGATGAGAAAGGAGCTACAATCAGGACAGGCCAATTTTAAAAAGGTATTCTCTATCTATAATCGTGCCCAACCACATCTGGAGTCTCACTCTGCTTTTCCAGTGGGCTCTGATGTCTTCTAGCCTAACTCACGCACTCAAGCCTTCCGTTCAGAGTCCTCATCAGCTGCTTCATGTTCCAGCCAACACAGCCTGGACCACAACAACCCATCCTTTCCCATTTCCCTCCTGACGTGCAAGCCACAAAGAAACTCTCCTGCAGATCTGGTTCCATGGAACCATGCACAGCTGGCCCAGCCCCGTCCCTGCTATGGTTATCAGTTATTGGTTATATGGTTATATGGTTGGTTACATATTGGTTATATGGTTATTGGTGCACCTCACAGTGCCTGTTATCCCCAGGCATTGGTGAACAGATATCCATAGCCCTTGCTCCTCACAGAAAAGTCCTTCTCTGTCCCCAGGCACACACTCCTGCCACACTGTCCTCTGTGATGACTCACAGAGATGCTAAACACACCTCCCCCTTCCCTCAGTGTATGAGTCTGCTCCCACAGAGCACCCCCGTCTTTAGCCCTCCTCATCACTTAATTCTATTTTGTCTTCAGATATACAGACCTCTCCCTCATCTACTGGGAGCTCTGCGAGGGCAGGGATATTTCCCACTACAACATCTGGCACTTGGAAAGAGCAGTTAGAATGCTGTAGATGTTCAATAAATATTTACTGAATGAACAACCAAACTGGTCTTTTAAACCTGCCAAGTTCAGTAAAAATTATGCTTCAACACAATAAACTGCTAAATACTAAAATGAAAATAGACACGAGACAGCTGAATAGTATCCTATAGCCATTTTAAGGTGGATAGAAGCCAGTTGTACATAAACTAAAATTGAAATGTTAATGAAGTAGTCACAGGATGCGGTTAAGAACCTACATTTTCTAACATATCAGTCACTCGATACCATGTCAATTAACTCCATAATGTTGTAAACTGTTGTTGATGTTATGCTGTGGTTTTTAATTGGTCGGAACGATATTCTGCCAGCTCTGCGTTTAGACCAGAGATGGTCTCCCCAAGAAACTGTTGAATTGAATTGGATGAACTGTAAAACTGCAACAAGGTGGAGTAATCCACCATGGGGGGAAGGCATGGGGAGGGGTTGGGGGAAGCTCAGAGACTATGAAATGATGTCATAAAATGAAATGCAATTAAAAAAAAAACTTAAAAAAAATTACACAGTAAGCTTCTTGAAAACAAAGATTACGTATCTTTTAGCACCATGAAGAAAAAATCCAATTTATAGCAGAGAGTCACTATGTTTATTCAACAAACATTGGAAACATAGAAGCTCACAGAAAAACGTTAACTCCTTGTACTACTGGATAAATGTTAAAGCGCTGAGCAGAGTATCGTTCCCATGTTAACACTCAGGTTCTATGCAATTCACAAGAAATGGCTGGCATACACATCACAGCACACATTTGCCTTCACTCCACTCCATTCTATGTGAGAAATGACAAGGTGGGACAACTGTCTCGGATGGAAAGCAAAAATGTCAACAGACATGACCCATGCATGAATGCATGAACTGTTACCAACTGAAAAGGAAAACAAACTTTGATGAAGTTTTCAAATCAAGTGACGGGATAAGATGTGTGATGATCAAAAGGTACCTGCTTATTCTCCTTCGGGGTTTGCAAGTGCCCAGGTTCCTCTCACTAGAGAGAAGCTGACAGCTTGGAAGGAAACAGCCAGCAGTGGAGGAATGCTACCTGCACTAGCGTTGGAGCTGGAGTGCTCAAAGCCAACCCTCGTACTTTAACTGAGAGTGAACAGTGAAAAGCACAAGACATTTATTCAAACTGACACACAAAACCAGAGTCATCTAGTGATTTGTTAATAAAGTTAGTACAGGCTGTGAATTATTTCATGTATTAAATTCTTAAGGTCTTCAGATAAAAACAGAGGAAAAAAAGATTGAAATTAGAAAAAAAAAAAGGTGATGTATAATCAGATTTTTACTTGTATTTCCTTAATTTCTTACTGCATTGGAAAAATTTTCCCACAAAAGTAAACATTCCACTTCATGAATAAGAGACAGTAGGGGAACTGTCTATGATCTTCCCCGTTACAACTCATCATTTAAGTATCTCAATGAGGTGTGCTATCCCCTACTTGGAAGGGCTGGATACTCAGGCCTCCAGTTAGGAGACTGCATTGTAGTTAAGATTATTGTCTCAACTGATAGGATCTCATGATCTTAAGATGCAGGGTTCCACAGGGAGTAAGTGACTGGAGTACTGGCATCCAAAACAGTTATAAATAACCATTAGCTGGCCACCCCTAGGGACTGCTCTTAAACCTCACATATAATTTTTTATTTAAGATCTACCTGTTGTACAGGTGGTCCCTTCTTCCAATGTTCTCTCCCTGAAGATTTAAAAAAAAAAAAAAAAAAAACAGAAAAAATGATGAGAAAGTAGTTAACTCTGAGTTGCCCATTCCCTAAAATACACAACCGAGTTAATATTAAATAAATATCAAGGAGCTTATTCTTAACCTAACAGGACAGACACCTGCCTCCATATCCCAGTAGCTAGGTTTCATGTCTGGTTCTGGCACTGAATCTAACTAAAAAACTAACTTAAAGCCTCAGGAGTCAGGAGTGATGTCTCAAATACCTGGGGAGTTTCTAACATGGGATTCTTGGATTGTAATTCTCAATGGAACAATCACCGTGGGTATTTAGGAACTGAATCAGTGAACAGGAGTTTATTCTCTCTCTCTCTCTCTCTCTCATCTCTCGTATGCCTCTTTTCCTGTCTCTCCAAAACAAAAATTAGGATAAATTCAAGGTTTCTTCCAAAGCTTGCTACGTTTTATTTCCAACATTTAAAGCAATGCTAAAACACAATTATATCTACTAAATTACTAGTTTTGGATATATAATAGTCAAGGTCAGAGAGAGGAGAAAGAAAACAGACAAATTATATCATGTCTACATTGGAAGGCAACATGTCAGTACAATCCTCTGTATGAAGCACCTCCCACGGGCAGTGGTTTGTGTCCCAGCTGCTCCATTTCCAATCCAGCTCCTGATGCTTAGAACCTGCGAGAGCAGCAGAGGCTGACTCAAGTCCTTGGGCTCCTGCACCCACCCAGGTGGGAGACATAGAAGAAGCTCTTGGCTCCAGATCAGCTCAACTCTGGCTTCTGCGGTCATTTGGGGAGGGAGACAGCCAAAGGAAGATTCATCAGTCTCTCTCTCAGTAAATCTGCCTTCCAAATAAAAATAAACAAATCTGTTAAAAAGAGAGAGAGAGAGAGAGATGTGTATACTCTGAAGCCAGTGATACAATTTCTAGGAAATGATCCTAAGAAAATAATAAAAATATGCTCAAATATTTACAAATAAAGACACTGTATCGCTACTAGTGAAAATTGACAAATATCATCTATAGAAAATTGTATTATTAAATGAAATTTTAAAAAATTTTAAATCGTATGCATGAGTAAACAAAACATCATAGTAAAAGCTTTTATTTATGAGGAAAAAGCATTCAAAACATAAGAATATAAGGTCGAACGCAGGATTATAGATGGCTTCAATATTACATATGGAAAAATGAACGGATATTCTTCACAATGTTCACAGAAGCTTAGTGGCAGGATGAGTGATTTAAATTTACTCACTATACTTAATTTCCTAATTTGCTTTGAAAAAAGTTTATTTAACTTTTATTAGAAAGTCAGATATACAGAGAGGAGGAAAAACAGAGAAGGAGATCTTCTATCCTTTAATTCACTCCCCAAGTGGCCATAACGGCCTGAGCTGAGCTGATCCGAAGCCAGGAGCCAGGAACTTCCTACAGGTCTCCCACACGTTCGCAGGGTCCCAAGGCTTTGGACCGACCTCAACTGCTTTCCCAGGCCACAAGCAGGGAGCTGGATGGGAGGTGAGGCTGCCAGGATCAGATCCAGTGCTCATATGGAATCCCGGGTACATGCAAGGTGAGGACTTTAGCCACTAGGCTACCACACCAGGCCCTATAACTTGTTTTTAAGAGACAGAATAACACTTGCTATGAGTGTTTGATAAATGTAAGTGGGAAGTATTTATTTCAAATGCATAGAAAGGAAGAGAAACAAATGGAGGAAGAGAGGGACAGAGAGGTACAGAAAGAGACAGAGATCCCATCTCCTGGTTCATTCAACAAAAGCCCACGATGGTTGGAGCTGGACCAGGAAGAAACCAGAAGCCTGGAACTGAATTTCGGTCTCCCACAAGGCTGGCAGCAACCAGCCACCATCTGCTGCACCCCTGAGGTATCAGCAGGAATTTGGGTCTCCAATGCAGGCTGCACTGGATCCATGGCATTCTGGCATGGAATGCGAGTGAACCAAGCAAGGACTCGGTGACATGCTGCACCACAACTCCTACCTCCATAAGGCTTTTTAAAATTTGATAAGTTCCAATGTTAGGAGTTTCCCTACTCCTTATCAAACAGAAGTTTTACCCCTCACCCCCCCAAAAAAAACCTTCCATTGATTCTTCTTCCTCCGTTTTTAAACTTTGCAGTGTCAGGGCTCACCAGATAAACTAGATGAGACACAAGGGCTCTTCAAAAAGTTTCCGGAAGTGCATATTATGGAAAAGTTATGAGTGTATTTCAAAAATTATGTACACTGAAATCATCTAATCTTTTAATTCTCCTTTTCTATGAACTTTTTGATGGAGCCCACCATGTAGCACACTGTTGTGAATCTGGTAGACTACAGCAGAGCCAAGTCCACAGCACTCAGCGAGATCAGCTAATCCTACTTGTCAGGAAGGAATGCCTTGCTCGTCAGACTCCAGTCCTGCTATCTAAGTCTTCAGAAACCTGTCTTTATTTCCCTGGACTGTTCTCACACAACACTGCTGGTACCTTTGTGGGTATTTTCTGATGCCGTCTTCAATAAGGTCAGAATGTCCAGATTATCACCAATTCTTGCATAGTATGCACTGTCATGGCCCAGGGCATCCAGCAAGCTGATGTCAGCTCCATTTTTAATCAAGATGTCCACTGCATCTTTGCAACCATACTCACAGCCTAGCATGAGAGCAGTTCTAGAAGTGAAAACAAAAGAACATAAAATGATGAAAAAAAAAAAAAAAAGAAAACAGTTCAGAATTTTTTTTAAACCAAAGGCTTCATTCTTAAATAGCAAATACCACTTTAGGAAGTTACATTTGTCGAAGATTTTACTTCATATTTTTATCTTGTATTCTAACTGCATCACATGTATAAAATAAGTGAAGCAAATGCTAAAGACGAAGAACCCTACCCATGTAAGTTCTGTATCGCATCACAATGTCCTAGTTTCACAATTATATTCCGTGATCTCTATTTCAGACAACAGTTGATGTACAAACAGTACGTGGATACAAGTCAGATGCATTTAAGTTTCTCAAAGTCTAAGATCCATGCAAATAATTTGACCCTGATTTTATTACCAATAAAAAGGTTACTCTATCCTTAAAACTATGATCTTTGCTGTTTCTACAACAGAAAATCTCATGATACTGTTCTTGTCCCTTGGGTACAAGCTTAAGACTCATCTGCTTAACTGTGGTAATAATTTCTCACTTTTGGTAAAGTGTCTTTTACTTAAAAAAAAAAAAAAAAGAAGAAGAACCTTAAAGAAACAGTGTCAAAAACTAAGATATCTAGTCTATACAACACATGCTGCCCTATCTGACAGCTTTTGGGTGGATTTCCAAGCAACATGCACAAAGTTGCCTTCAACAGACAGAGGGGCTAGTGTTGTGGTGCAGAGCGACAATCCACCACCTGCAACGCCAGCACCCCACAAGAGCACAAGCTCCACTTCCAGCCACCCACATCCAAGCGAGTTCCCTGCTAACACACTTAGGAAAGCAGCTGAGGATGGCCACTGCCACGTATGTGAGAAACCCAGATGGAGTTCCCAGGCTCCTGGTTTAGGCAGACCCCAGCTAGGACTGCCCATAGTCATTAGAGAGTAAGCCAGTGTATCGATGGTCTCTGTGTCTCTCCTGCTCTCTCTGTAACTCTGCCTTTCAAATAAATAAAACACATTTCTAGGGGTAGGAGGGGGGAAGGGAAGAACTATCTATGTGACTCAATCAAATCATCCCTCTCTGGGATTTTGAAAGTAAGGTTTCTTAGTCATACTTGGATCAAACCATATTTTCTCTAAACAAAAAAAACTAAAACACATTTCTTAATAGTGACATTAGCAGTGGACACAGGCCCTGTTGTAAAAGGAGAATATGGCAAGTCATTTGGTGCTGGAACAGAACAGAACTAACTGGACAACAACCCCAAACAAACGATGACAGCAAAAAATCTTGGTCAATGGAGCCAATGAACACTGGGAGGGTGACATCACCCTCAATCAGTAGAGTCGGCAGCATTTCAGGATTATCCAAACCACTTGGACAGAACCCTCGGAATATGTACACATTGAGACTCTGGGTTGATATGAGGTGGCGGCTCCTCATCCCTGGGTACCGGGACGTGTGGAAAGGCATGAGTAGTTTCCCCCTGTGTTTCTCCCTTTGCCCCGGGAACAAGAAGAAATAGCAAATTTGGAAGCAATGACTACACCCATTTTCCCACCCTGATCCACCATGTAATCATTATAAAAAATAAAATGTATTAAAAAAAAGATTAAAAAATCACATTAATATTTGAGATGTTCAAGAACTTCCTTTTTTTGAGATGACTGGGCAATAAAAATACTGAGAGCTACACAATCTGACATCTAAAGTCTATTTATCCACTTCCAACAAACTCCAACAAGTCACATTCTCAGGAAAAAAAAGCATCAGTTTTACTGTGATCCTCTAGAGAATCATAGAATTTTCAATTTTAACCCTCCACAATACTTCATCTAAATGTGGGGGAATAACTCAAGATATCTGATGTCAGAAATGTGATCATAAACGTCAGAATTACACTGGAGTAAACAGCATGATAAACCAGCTCTGGAGAAAAACAAGAGGAAAGCAGGTACAAATCACCAGAGCCTATCAACTGAAATAACACTGAATTTAGGAGTGAGAATAAATTGAAGGAATGCAGTACATAGAATGGACTTTGATTCAGAGGAGGCAGCACTGAGTCCTGGCAGTATAAGGAAATGAAAAAATTCTAGAACATGCCACACAGGGCCCAGTGTGACGGCTCAGGGGCTAAATCCTCGCCTTGTATTCACCAGAATCCCATATGGGCACTGGTTCTAATCCTGGCAGCTCCACTTCCCATGCAGTTCCCTGTCTGTGGCCTGGGAAAGCAGTTGAGGACGGCCCAAAGCCTCAGGAACCTGCATCAGTGTGGGAGACCTCGCCCCTGGCTTTGGATCAGCTCAGCTCCAGCTGCTGTGGGGAGTGAACCAGCAGACAAAAGATCTTTGTCTCTCCTCTCTGTAAATCTGCCTTTCCAGTTTTTTTTTTTTTTTTTAAAAATCCAAAAAAACAAAGAAAGAGCCAATCACATAGACATGTCAGGTTCCAAAACACCCAGGAATCACTTTCATCTCAAAAGATCCACAAATGAAGGAGCAGAAAACAAATGTGATTTAAAATGAAGTGTCTTATTTGTTTATCTATCTATCTATCTATCTATCTATCTATCTATCTATCTATCTATCTAAAAGGCAGATGGCAGAGGGAAAAGGAGAATCAGGAACATTTTATTTTTTGGTCCACTCCCCAGACGGCCACAAGCGCAAGGCTGGGCCAGGCTGAAGCCAGGAGCCAGGAGCTTCATCCAGCAGTTCCACATGGAAGGCAGATGTCCCAGTACTTAGGCCATTTTCTGCTGCTTTCCTGGGTGCGTAAGCAGGAACCAAGATTGGAAGAACAAAGAACAGTCAGGACTGGAACTGGCATCCATATGGCATGCTAGCACTGCAGGCAGCAGCTTAACTCACTGCGCCACAGTTTCAGCTCCTGTATATGATTTTTAAATCTTATTTATATTCATTTCATTAAATATTTTCTTTAAAACTTCAAATAGGAGCCAGTTTTGTGACCCACAGGGTTAAGACACAACACACAATGCCAGTATCCCGCATGGGCACTGGTCCAAGTCCCTGTTGCTCTCCTTCCGATCTAGCTCCCTACTAATGCGTCTGGGAAGACAGCAGAGGATGGCCTGCACACCCATGCTGGAGACCTGGATGGAGCTCCTGCCTTCCACCTAGCACAGCTCTGGCACTGCAGCCATTTGGCGAGTGAAGCAGCAGGCAGAAAAATCCCTCTGTCTCTTTATCTCTCAGTAGCTTTGCCTTTCAAGTAAACAAATCTAATTTAAAAATAACTGTGATGCAATTCCTCTTAAATTTTGATGACAAAATGGTCAAACAAACTAATCAACTGCTGTCATTCAGTATTTCATTCACTATTTCCCTCTTCCTGCTTCCTAACAGATGGAAAAAAAGGAGAAATGGATCCTAATTGGTAAGGGGAGGCAGGGCACAGCAGCAGACAGGGAGGACCGAGAAGACTGGGGAGGGAGGCAGGGCACAGCAGCAGACAGGAAGGAAGCACTCACCTGTTCTGTTTGTCTCTGGAGTTAACATTTGCTCCTCTGTCTATCAGCAGTTGACATATAGCTGGTCTACACATCTGAGTAGCCAGGACAAGTGGGGTCCGCCCATCCTAAGGAATAAAGAGAAATAAAACATGAGCAAGGCAACAAATGCAACAAAACAGTTTTACAACGCATGCAAAGAAATAAGGATAAATTTGATTTGACTCACTATGTCTTTGGCATTCACAGAGGCCCCGTGGTCGCAAAGCAGCTGTATGCTGGAAGGACAGTCTGCCATGGCTTTGAGAAACAACAAAAATGACTAATGATTGATGTGTTGGTACAACACATGGTGCTTTACTAGGTCAACAGAAGGTATGAACTATTCCACTTCTAACACACTGAGCCATCTCCTTCACAATTAGTTCAGCATTCGTTCATAATATCAACTTTCCATCTTAAAATGTATTCAATCAGTTTGTGAATTTTTATAATTTATTGGGACAAAGAAAATGCTGCGGAAGACAAGAAGACACTGCCATTGTAAGGGAGAATATGAATAATATAAACAAGAATTTCTTACTACAACAAATTTCTGACCATGGCTGCTATTGTCTTGATCTTTGCAGTTACTCAGATTTTAGAAGAATCATTCACATGATTATACTGTGAATAATCATGTCAATGATTCACAGTGAAATTTTTTACAGATTTATTTTTCTTATTTTTATTGGAAAGTCAGATATACAAAGAGGGGAGACAGAAAGGAAGATCTTCCGTCCACTGATTTACTCCAAGTGGCCACAATGGACGGTGCCAAACCAGGGGCTTCTTCCAGGTCTCCCACATGAATGCAGAGTCCCAAGTCCTTGGGCCATCTTTGACTGTTTTCCCAGGCTACAAGCAAGCAGCTGGAAACCTAGAAACCCGTACAGTCCCAAGTATTTCAGATAAGGGACACTCACGCTGTACTGAAAATCAGAAGTGCCTAGTAATAATACTGAAAACGATCATTTAAATAAGAAAACAACATAATTATATTGGTAGTGTTGCCATTCCATGAAAAAAAATTAAAGTGATATATCTGAATATTAATGTTCATTATAAAACTTTCTGCATCTACCTTGCTTCCATGAGGACTTCTGAAATTGAATCTTTAAGACAAAACTTCAAAAATGTTAATGAATCACTTGAAAGATGTCTTTTGAAAAAAAAAAGCATACTACTTTCTTCTTCTGTTAATACCAGGGCTCATATATATTTTGGAAAAACTGTGGGACCAGTTTGTGGAGAAGCAGGTCAAGTTGCCACCTACAATATCAGCACCCCATAATGGAGGGACCGTTCTTTCAGGCTAGAACCCTAATGATGCACCTGGGAAACAACTGGAAGACAGCCCAAGTACTGAGACCCTCCCACTCACATGGGATCCCCAGATAGAGTTCTGGGCTCCTGGCTTCTGACTAGCCCACCCAGACCACTGTAGCCACTGGGGGAACAAACCAGCAGATAGAAAAATGTTTTTCTCTGTCTCTTCCTCCCTCCTCGTCACTCTCTCCTTGCCATTCTGCAGTTAATATTTTTATGTAACTCCAAATGTAACAATAAAAGATGAATTAAACCTGAATGCGTTAATTCTGAAACTCTAAACTTAACCACTACCCAGGTCCAATTACAAGCAGGAATGAAAAAAAAAACCATGAAGCATGATAAATGCCGGAACTGTCACATACTGAACACACACAATCAGCTCTGCAGGGCGCGGTACAGACTTCTGGCTGCTCACCAAACTGGCTGGCGCAGGGAAACAACTCCGAGAGCCCTGTGTAGCTCAGCATGACTGGGCAACCTAGAGCCCTCAGCAGAATTCAGCCGACGGATATGTGCCACTTCCAGGCTTCCAAAGCAGGCCTGTACCTTCCCCTGCCAGCTTTCCCCTTCCTGCAAGCTGCAACGCAGAGGCGCCTACTATCAGCCTGGTCTCGGTGCTGAAGGCAAGGACCTAGGAGACAGCAGCACTGCCAAAGAGTGAAGAGCTGAGTCCCTGAAGGCCTCCGTGGAGCACAGGCACATCTGACCATTAGGGCTGTGAAATCAAAGCACGCGCTCTGGACTGTTGTCACAGTCAGTGCTACCACAGGGTCTTTCTGGCATGGAGCTGATCTCAGCTTGGATTCAGACAAAACCTGCAGTCAGCAGTGTCGCCACCGTAACCAGGACCTAATGCTCACAGCAGTGCTCCAATGCTTGGGAAGCAGATGGTGATTCAAATTAGTTGAGACTAGAAAAATGCAGAGTTATCTTGCTACTCGAGATGGTTGGAAGAGCTTACCAGCTCTGATAAGCTGAAAGATACGCCATGAGAGTCTGAAGTCTTTCTGGCCAAGCAATAGAAAAGTGCCCACATGTGAGCATGTCCTTAGCATTCAGTAAAGGATAAGCTCGGGTTGGGGTTAGCGAGCCCTGAACAGAGAGAGGGGTGGAGAGAGAAGCCAGGAATCTGGGACCTTGCAGGTATGATGAGGCCAACTGCTGCCTGCAGCAAACTGTGGGAGAGAAACTTTTTGCTCACAGTTTGTCTCACAAACCTTCCCCCAAAAGGGGCCTGGCATGGTGGCCTAGTGGCTAAAGTCCTCGCCTTGCATGCGCCTTGCATATGCATCCCACATGAGCGCTGGCTCTAATCCCGGCAGCCCCACTTCCCTTCCAGTTCCCTACTGGCAGCCTGGGAAAGCAGTCGAGGACAGCCCAATGTCTTGGGACCCTGCACCCACGTGGGAGACCTGGCAGAAGATGCTCCAGGATCCTGGCTTTGGATCAGCTCAGTTCCAGCCATTGCAGCCACTTGGGGAATGAATCAACAGATGGAAAATCTTCTTCTCTGTCTCTCCCTCCTCTATGTATATCTGACTTTCCAACAAACAAATAAATAAACAAATTTTGGGGGAAAAAATTCCCACAAGGAACAAGATCCAGTCAAACCTTCCCACTAGGAAAAAGAGAAGATCCAGTCCTGGAATAGAGATTAGTCAAGAACATTAAATTCCTAGTGAGGCCCAGTATCTCAGAAGTCTTGGAAGTACTGACTACGAAAATAAGGGCGAAATAAAGAAAGCTGAAGAACCACACATCTACAAAAGAACTTTAAAATGGTTTCTGGCATACTGAAGACTGCCAATAAACACACCAGAAATCCAGCAAGGCTGTGAGTGGCCAGAATTCTGCAAACTCAGACTCTCAGTCCCTTAAGTTGCCTGGAGATGCCAAGCTCAGTTATAGCCATGTGAAACAACAGCAATTTCACAAATGGCAGACAGGATCTCCATTCAAAACAAGAGCAGGAAGGTGCCAGTATCCAGAACGTGTCAAGAAACAGACCCCAGAACCCAAGCATGAAGTCTAGCCCTGTGTGAGGCAGAGAGGTGCTGACAGGGGACACTCACTTGTGGGGCTGTGTGTTTCCACTTCACCTATCCTGGGCTTGTTTTGTCACCACACACTGCGAGCAGCAGACAGCACCAGAATTTACAGATTGCTGTGCCATGGAGAGCTACATCAGCTAAAGACAGAGAACTGCACCCACCCAGTAATATTGGTAATTTGGTCCAGATGCAGGAATGGGATTGATTTGTGCATCTTTTCTCTTGGGAAGGGGAGGAGGGCTCTGTGTGTGGGAAGCAGTGGCTGCTACAGAAATAGCTGCAAGGCCAGAGGGTTGGAGAGATTGCAGCGAAAAAGGCAAATTTTCAGCAAACTGTTCCTTCTTCCATTGAGTAGTAACTGGGCCACGTCTCCTCACCTAGTGACTCAATTTCTGAGCCTCGTAACAGATAGGCACCATCAGTCAGCCGGGCTCTAAACAGTGGGTCTATGAGTACAGACTTGTAGGTACCTCCATGCATGGGTCTTAGAGCCTGGACACGTGCTCTGCAGCTGCCAGCTGGAGCACACAGCACACAACTCTGCTTCTACCAAGTCATGGACAGAGACCCCAGACAGAGGAGCAGTGAGGGCTAAGGATGGAGGGATGGAGGTCACACAGGACCTATGATACCATCCTATGTAACAAGAAAAGAGAAGAAAATTCACTGATACATTAAGCTATTGCAAGAGTATGGAATATTACCCCCCCCCCAAAAAAAAAGCTCCAAGAAGAAGATTAAGGTATAAAAATGTGGGGAAAAAAAATGTGAAGCAAGGCAAGGAGAATACATGTTCAGGGCATAGCATGCTAACCCACACATGAACACTTTCCTCAACTGTGGGAGGTTATACTTGAGGAGTCAGTAAGAGCTCATGCTATGGGACCTTCCAGAAACACTTAAATATTTTTTTTATTTGAAGTATCTTCTTAAGTAAGTGACACCTAAACAATAATGAAGACAAAAGCCAAATAAATACCTAATAAAATCTGTGAAATCATTGGTATAAATATTTTCTTAAACAGAGCACATTATGGTGGATATAATATTCAACACTAACAACCCTATACGAAAATAGCACTACTATTTTTAAGACGTTAATAAATGACAGCCAATATTGATGGTTTAATTTGTGCTTACTCCAGTAGTATTATTAGTTTCATTTTCTAGAGGAGAAAATAAGAGTATGATTAGGAATATTATGACATGTCTTCCTACTTCTCATATCTCCTATAATTCTTGACCATATACAAGTAGACATAAACACACACACACACACACACACACACACACACACACACACACATACACAAATACCGAGGCACAGGAGTACTCGATGCTCTGTGTTAGCAAAATCATAGTTTATTCGCCCGTGTGCTTTCAAGATTCAACAAAATGGCCTGTAAAAACTGCCTTACTGAAGGAGGCACAGTCTTATAAACTTTAAATCGGAACATGTGAGTAGTTTTCAACATTAGTTCCTCATGAATTACATGAACATAAACATATTTAGAACTTAGATATTCACTCAATGCCTAGATATTTTGACAAGCATGCGTCAAACAAAAGCTTCTGTGCCAGCATTGTGGCACAGCGGGTAAAAGCCGTGTCTGCAATTCCAGCATCCCATGTGGGTACTGGTTTGTGTCCAGGCTGCTCCACTTATGACCCAACTTCCTGATAATGGCCTGGGAAGACCAGGAAGACAGCCCGGATGCCTGGGGTCCTGCAACCACATGGCAGACCCAGAAGCTGCAGACTCCTGGCTTTGGCCTGGCTCAACCCCAGCCACTGCAGCTATGTAGGGAGTGAACCAGAGAATGCAGTGTCTCCCTCTGTCTCCTTCCCTCTTAACTCTTTCAAATAACAATATAAATCTTTAAAAGAAACAATAGAGGCCCAGCATGGTAGCCTAGTGGCTAAGTCCTTGCCTTGCAAGGATCCCAGTTTGTATCCCAGCTGCTCCACTTCCCACCTAGCTCCCTGCTTGTGGCCTGGGAAAGCACTCGAGGTCGGCCCAAAGCCTTGGGACCCTGCGCCTGGATGGCAGACCTGGAAGAAGCTCCCAGCTCCTGGCTCCTGATCAGCTCAGCTTTGGTCATTGTGGCCACTTGGGGGTGAACCAGCACATAGATCTTTCTCTCTGTAAAATCTGACTTTCCAATAAAAATAAATCTCTTTAAAAATAATAGTCATAATAATTTTACCTGCATCATGAAGCGCAGTTCTTCCCTGCAGGTCAACGTGTTCAGTGGGACAATTGTACTGTGGAAAAACACAAAATTGCTCATCTAGAGAAGTTTAAATTTAAACCTTAATAGGCACACTCAAATGACAAGCTATTCATCTTAAAAAACAACTGATTGTTTTTAGGCAATCCAGGAACAATTCTGACAAGAAACACAAAACACATTATATAACTATAAATGTAATAGTGTTTTTACCAAACAGGAAACATATGGTACATTATAATAGCATGAACTACATAAAATGTTATTGTTTCAACTTTTTTTTTTCTAGAAAAATTCAAAACAAAATACTGAATTGGAAAAACACATGCTTCTGCTGTGAAACTTAATGACAAATATGTAACTGGACTCTGAAAGCTTATTTCAGCCAAAGAGTTCATCCAACTCTTTTAAGTCTGATTAGCGGCACAGGTGTCTGGATGCCCCAGCCACGTGGCTGTGGCTGGGGGAACCCATGTTGGCTTCTTGTTGATGATCCTGGCTCCCTGTCCACCGCTGCTGGGCGGGTGGAGGGCATGTGGGCTGCCAATCAGTGCCGGGATTTGTTAGCTGGTCATCCAATAGGGGAATTGGGACTATGGAATTACTGCCTACTGGACATCCATGGATAAGGCCACTATATGCATAGGTGAGGAATGAATGCTGAGGCACACTCAACGACAAGACCACTGTACTGGCAGATAAAAGAAGGGACTGAGACCTGGTTGTTTGGAGGGGAGAGACATGAAGATCTTTATGGGTCAGACTGATGCACCAGCCCACATGGGAGTCCTGGGTTGGGCTTGTTAGCACGGAACATGGTTGACCACCACATGCCAGTGCACACGCAGGCTATGACTGGGGGCCTGTCTAGCAGGCCTAGATCCCAGTACCTGACAGTGAAGTGTCAGATCAGGGGATGGGTCACATTAGACTAGGCCATGAAACCAACTAGCATGCAAGAGAACCAGACCCAGGGGTGGATTCTGTGGGGGATATGTGGGCCTAACCCTATGAAACTAGAAGTCCCACTGGTTAGCCTGAGAGTTAGGATGGTGATGGACTGAGTTAGGTGTGACCATGGAACTCACAGACGCTCACCAATGCCGGGGCTGGGAGCAAGCAGGACAGGTCCTAGCGGCAGCACCCACATGAGCACCCTAAAACAGAGTGTGGGGTGAGCGAGGTTGCACCAGCTCATACAACGGCTGGGACATATGGGACAGGCCATGCCATATAAGGGCCAAGTACCTGCTGGTACACGTGAGATCTGGGTCTGGGAGTGGCGTGAGTAGGGGAACCTGGGAACCTCCCCTAATGGGGCATAGCTCCTGCTGATGAGCACATGGTCCAGGCCTGGATGCTGGGCAGGGTAGCTCCATCTGTCGGCAAGTGTGTGAGCTGGTTCTGGAAGGTGGTGGACCAGGCAGAGCCAAGCCAACCATAGCTCACTGGCAAGAACAGAAAACAGGATGGAGTGCAGGTCATCCTGGGCTAGGTTGCCACAGCTGCTGGTCTGCATGAACTAGAAATGAGAGCAGACTGAGCAGGGCCAAGTTGTAGCACCTGCCAGCGACAGTTATGCCTGGGGGCCAGCTGGGCTGGGCCAGGCCAGGCTACAGCGTCCGCAGCAAAGGCCACTACAGGGAAGAAACTATGCCAAGCTAGGTCAGAGCACCACTGACACATGTGAGATCTGTTGCTGGGATCAGGCCTGGTTGGGGAACTAAGGGAACGCCATGGCTGGGTTGTGGGTCCCAATGGTGAGTGCAGGGGATGGAGTGGGTTTGCGGTCTGGTCTGGACATGGCTGCAGTGTCCCTCAGCATGGGTGTGGGCTTGGTCTGGGGCATGCAAGACTAGGTTAGACTCCAGCACCCACTGGTGCTTGTAAGAATCAGGGTGAAATGGGCTGGGCATGGTCTCCATCCCGCTGAGCCATGTGTGAGCTGTGTCTGAATGTGCACCAGGCTTGGCTGGGCTTTAGCACCCAGCAGTTAAGAACTGGACTGGATGATGGCTGGTCAGGAAAGACCACTGTTCTGGCTAGGACAGGAGGTAGATTAAGTAGGGATGGCCCATGAACCTACGGGTGGGCATGAGATCTACCACTGGGAGAGGTTCTGATGAAGAAGTTTGGCGAATTCTTCTGTTAGTACACAGTCCCTGCAGGTAAGTGCAAGAACCAGGAAGGGAAGCAGCCCAGACCAGGTCAGGTTACAGAACCCACAGGCTTGCCTTTGGCTCAGGTCTAGGGCAAGCCAGGCTGGGTCAGTTCATAGCATCTGCTGGTAAAGCTGACAGCCAGAATGGTATGGGTCATCATGCCTGGTCAGGTCATGATGACCTGCAAGTTCACATTAGGGCCAGAACTGGGGGCTCACTGGGCTAGCTAGGCTGTAGTCCCCACCAGTGTGAGCTGGAACTGGGGGTGGGCTGGGCCGAGTCAGGCTATAGCACCCACTGGCAAATACCAAGGTGAGGCGCTCCATGCCAGACTGGGTCACAGCACCCAACCAGCACACATAGACCGAGGGGAGAACAGGCAAACCCGGTAGGGGGCTGTAGGGAGCTCCCCTGCTGGGCCACTATTCCCACTGATGAGTGTGAGAGCTGGGATTGGGGACACACTGGGTAGGGCTACAACACTTTTTGGCTTGCATTTAAGCTGGATCAGAGACAAGTCAGGCTAGGTGGACTGCACCTACTGGTACATGCATTAGCCAGAGTGGGTGAGGGTTGGTTGGGCTTTGCCGCAGCATCAGCTAGCAGATGCTGGCTGAGGTGTAAAACTCTATCAAGCTAAAGTGCAGAACCACTAGGCTACAACTCCCACTGGTTTGCCTAAGTGCCAAGTGTGCAATGGGCAGGATCGGGTTGGACTGCAACACCCATTAGTTTGAACAGAAGATAGGGCTAGAGACAACTGACCCAGCAATTGCAACTGACATTGTGCACATAGGCCGATTTGGGCAGCAGACTGTACTGGACCCTGTATGGGCATGCATGCACACACAAGAATTAGGTCTGGGATCACTTCAGATGAAGTTTCTTTGGCAATCCCTCCAACTGAACTGCTGGTTTCAGAATTCCAATCATGGAGGAAATTGCAGGTTCCACGGTCTGACTGTGGAATGTATCTCTCAGAGCTGGGCCTCCTCAATGGCTTAGATAGAGCAGTGGGCAGCATTTCCAGGTGCACATGGAGGATATGGCAGACCATAGGAACCTGCAGAGGACACCTTGTACCACAACAGGACGGAGGACAGAACAAATCAATCATATGTCCCAACCGAGTATTGGCAGTGAAAATCTGGGCAAACAGAGATTCTAAGGTGGACTATGTCAGCAGTGGATTCTGGAGAGATTTCATCGTGATTGGAGTGGTAGGAGCAGCCCTGATTCAGAACTGCTGAACTATCAAAACCATCTGAACAGGACCCTCGGAGCATGCCCCACATAAGGGACCCTAGGATGGTTGGGAGGGTAGGTATGACTTCTCCCCCTATTTCTCCCCTCCCCCCACATACAGGAAGGAAAAAAGAGAACGTGAAAATAAGGTCTCACTGAGCTTCCTCTAGCTTTGACCCTTCATACCCTAATCAAATACATCAAAATTATCAAAAATAACATTTGTACAATTAAAAGACAAAACAAAAATTCTATACACTGCTGTACTGTTAAAATTTTACAATAAAAATGCATATTTGTGGTGAGAAATTCATCATAAAAGAGAAATAGAATTCATAAAATAAAAAAAGTTTATAGAATTCTGAATATTTAACTACTGTTGGTAATTTGATGTAGTCCGATCTAACTGTGTTTTACAGGATCACAGAGATCTGCACTGTATCACTTTACCTTCAGTCATTTTCTAGACAAGAAGAGATTCCAATCTCTAGCAAATGTCAACAGGAAGGCCAAGTCTTTGTTATTTGTTTTTAATACACTGAGTTATGCAATTCACTTCCTCAGAGTTCTTGTTCTTTACCGTTCACATTCCTTCACACACGATGGAAAAAAAATATTATGTCAGCTAACAGCCAAAGTTAGCCAGGCATTTGCTTTGATATCAAATCACAAAGATACATCGGTGATTTAGTCAACAAAGAAACAGCATCAACCGCTTGTACTACCTGGAGGAGCTTCTGCAGGCATAACACATGGCCATACTTAGCAGCCAGGTGAAGGGCATTTCTCCCTAGAAAATAAGTAAAAAATACCTGTGAAGCATTATTAGCATTACATGATTTTTCATGAAGATATACTTTTTTTTTTCTCAAAATTAGTTCACAGGACACTTCATTTGTCAGCAGGCTTACAGTTTGCTAAGATGACTTAACCTGCTTTGACGGTTTTGTGTCAGATACTGTGCACACCAAAGCAGTGAGTATGACTAGAACATTAACCATGCAAATCCACACAGAGCAGGAACCTGTCTGGTCCACACTGCGTCCGTGGAGAAAGGAGCACGCAGGTAAACACTGGAACAGGCAGCAGGGGGCGGGAGGAACAGGAGCACGGGGAAAGAAAAGGGAAGAAATACCTCCATGACACAGAGCATCATCAGAAAGAAAAAAAGAAGAAGAAGAAAAAGGCAGCATGGATGCCAGAGATTTAAAAAAACAAACAAACAAAAGTGTAAAGTCACAGAAAGGACATTCTGCAAGAATTCTGCTTCTGTTAAACCTTCAAGTTCACAATGAAATTCTGTCTTGGCAAGTCAAATAATTTGTCCAAAACAATGTGTTCTAAAATACGTAACTTCAAGGAAATACCGCAACGGGTAAAGAGCAGAGATTAGCAAGTAGTCTGAAATGTTTACTCTGTGCACTGGCAAAGCAATCTCATATGAAATAATTCTCTATCCAGACACATCTGAAAACATCTGTTATTTTTGGACACCTATCATCACTCTGAATGGTGAAAGAGTTCCACCAGATTATGCTGCCTTTCAGTTTTCCATGATCTTTCTATTCCTCTAACCTCACAAATTTCTTAAAACATAACTTGTTTTCATTAATACATCCTTCTGCCAGAAAGGAAGTAACATACATTCTGTTTATCCCAGATAGAGTAGTAAGGTGGCTTTCGCCTGTCAGTTTTACATGAGCTCACATAAATGGGTAAGTTTTCCTAAGCCTGATCACCTCTACACTAACACTACCCAGCTGGAGACAGAACCCATTCAACCACAACTGAACATCCTCCAGCGATGAGAAAATGAGGCGTGATCACTTCAGATTTCCAAGTCCTACTGACCAAGGGTAAATATCTAAGAAACATGTTACATTTTGAAGGTGACCAAAAGCAGTGCCATTAAAGGTGAAGTAACAAAGGTACAGAGTGGGCACTGCGGGGGATGGCAGTGGCGACTCCTCTGGTGGTGAGCAAAGTGGTACAGAGCTTGGTTACACAAAAATGTCAGGTCAGGGCTAAGAAAAGGCCCAAGTCAGACACTGGAAATGGGCACCAAAACAGCGGGGAGATCTGAGATTTAAGATCTGAGATCTTCATACCCACGAGTATGAAGCACTAGAAAATAAGTAAAGGAAAGAAGAGCATGTCCAGTAAGATCTGGGCCACAAACGCCTCTAAACTACACAAACTTTAAATCTAGTCACTTAAAAGACACTTTTCAGAAAATATCTTTTAGTATAAAATCTTTTAATGTAGCAAATGGTTGTTCTGGATTGCATTAACCTTGTTAGAAATTGAGAAAAGGTTCCTGCCCTCAAGAAAGAACGACTCAAGTGACAAACGTAATACAACAAATCAAATTAAAATGTAGCTGAGTTGCAGCATAAGCAAAAGATGGGGAGCAGTAAGCAGGGTGCCTGGGACACAGCCTAGGGAAAGAGCCACTGAGCTTCACCTGCCTTTAACGGGGTGGGCAGCAGTCACTGCAGTGGTCACCTGGTAGAGAGGCCCAGCGCAGACAAGAAAACAAAAAAGGACAAGAAAACAAGAAAAGCAATCTCCTTGACCCAAAATCATCACAATAAATAAATGGTCTTCAGTGTTCTGATGAGATACGCCTAGCCCAACGGGGCTGGTGTTGTGGTATTGTGGGTTAAGTAGCCTCCTATGATGCCAAAGTACTGGTTCTGGTCCCAGCTACTCTGATTCCAACCAAACTTCCTGCTGATGTGTCTAGAAACACAGTATTTGGGCGTCTACCACCAATGTGGGAGACAAGAACATAGATCATGGCTCCTGGTTTCGGCCATTACAATCAGTTGGAGAATGAATCAAACGAAGAAAAAGAGCTTTCTTGGTGTCTCTCTCTCTCACACGTTCCAGTCACCCCTTCACAATGCCTTTCAAATAAATGAAACTGTTGGGGGGCTAGAGCAGCAACACTGAAGCAAGGTCACTGCCTCCACCCTGTGGCACCGACACCCATATGGGCACCAGTTTGTGTCCCAGCTGCTCCACTTCTGATCCAAGTCTCTGCTGGATGATGCCCCAAGTCCTTGGGATCTGCAACCACATGGGAGACCCCAAAGAGGCATCTGACTCTCAGCTTCTGATCAGCTGAGCTCTGGCCATTGCAGCCATTTGGGAAGTGAATGAGCAGATGGCAGACCTTCTCTATCTCTCCTTTCTCTGCAACATCTGCCTTGCAGATAAAAATCAACAAAACTTTTAAAAAGCTATTTTTTTAAAATGACCAAACAGAATAGGTTCTTTGTTGGAACAAAAAGGTCAAGAACACAGAGCTCAACTTACCTACCCACTGCAGCGCCTCGAGCAGGCTTCCTAACAGTTCAGCTCCTCACATCCTCATGATGCCAATGTGAAAAAAAGGAGTTAATAACATGCAAAGCCAAGCAGAGTGGGTACCTAAGTGTCACACAAACACCATCTGCTCTTGTGGTTGCTACTTGAGGCAATTAGTTCTCTATGACAAGACACCTACAACTGAATGACTGCAAAGTGAGGGGGTGTGAATTCAAACGAAACAACCCTAACAGGTCTTCAGAAAATGAGACTTCAGGATGTTGGTGTCCTCCTTGGTGGCTGGCTGTGGAGACCACACCTACCTGCAGTGTCACTGGTCGTGATATCAATTCCATGTATCAGGATGGCATTCAAGCACTCGAGATTCCCCTTTGAGGCCACAACATGGAAGCTGAGAGAAAGAAAGTATTTGGTATGTCACAGAAACTACCAAATGGCAATTTGAATGTGACATTAATCCCACTGCTTCTTCAACACACGCACATAATTTTAAATATTACATTACAATAGGTTGAGAATCACTAATTCAAAATTAAAAACCCAAAAAGGGGCTGGTGCAATGGCTCAATGGCTACATCCTCACCTTACAAGCACCAGGATCCCATTGGGGTGCTGGTTCATGTTCCAGCCGTTCCATTACCCATCCAACTCCCTGCCTGTGGCCTGGGAAGGCAAGAGACAATGGCCCAAACCTTAGGACCCTAAACCCACGTGGGAGACCTGGAAGAAGCTCCAGGCTCCAGGCTTCAGATCGGCTCAGCTCCAGCCATTGCAGCAGCCACCTGGGGAGCAAATCAGCAGATGAAAGATCTTTCTCTGGCTATCCTTCTCTCCACAAATCTAATCTGCCTTTCCAATAAAAATAAATAAATCTTTTTTTAAATGTGGGAATTTTATATTAAGCATCCCCAGTCTACACATACGAGGGGTTGGGGGGAAGTATCCCATTTACTTTCAAGGCAAACATTTTCCAAAACACTTAGCAACAGCGAAGGATGCCCTGAGTACTTAAGCCTCTGCCACCCATGTGAGAAACCTGGCTGGAGTTCCAGGTTCTTGGCTTCAGCCTAACCCAGCCCTCACCGTTGCACCCATGTGAGTGACCCAGTGACCTAGCAGATAGATGGAAGATCTCTGTCTCCCTCTTTTCTCTGAAAGTCTGCCTGTAAGATAAACAAATTTTTTAAAAAGAAAGAAGCAAATGTTAAACCAACAAGTGCTGAAGATACCAGTTAGCAAAACACCCCATTATTCCTTTGGCATCTAGGAATTCAGAAATCAACAAACCTTTACAGAAATATTTTGTGTCCAGTTACACCTGTCCTTGACTACTCTACCACATCTGAACCGTGAGGACAAGCCCAGGAAGAGTTGCTAGTAAAGAACGATGGCTCAGGGTAATGCAGAGCTGAGGTCCTGAGCCAGGACGGTGACAGCTCTGCAGAAGACCAAGGACGGCGGGTGCTCTACAAGGCTCCTGGTATGGACACTGCACACAGCGCTCTCCAGGGACAGCATCCCTGGCACCGCTGTGTCACAACACTCCCCTCAACCGCTAGGGCTCCCAGTCCCTCCATTCCTGCCTCTTTCATTCTGTACAGAGCTGAATACTTCATGATATATAAATAAATTCAGCATCCCCCTATAGTTAATCAATCTCTTCTGTCTCAAATGGTAACTGAATAAGTACAGGAATTTGGGGTCATTTTTCTTTCTAGTATTTCCACACAACCAATAACGATGTTAGACAGATGGAAACTCTCAAACATTTGAATACCTACATGCTTAGAAACAAAACCTGATGACAGCCTGCAATCCATTTCCACATATTACTACACTCAGTCAAGTGATGTTATTAGTTTTACAATCAATATCCACATATACTGGGGACCAACAGCTAAGCAAAGCAAGACTGTATAATTGGGAGTTAGAGAGAAGAAATGTTTCTGGTAAATACAATGCACTGTTCTTCACAGTCAGTTAAATCCCAATCTAGAGAAATGTAAGTTGCTGTAAAGCTGCAAGGTAACATTTAGTCTCTGCAACAATGAAAAATGGAATTAGATTCCGTAATCCACACCAGAAGTTTTGAAAGAATGTCAATCCCCTTCAAAACAATGGAATTTGGTCTCAACAATCTTGAAGATCCCATTTTTAATTGTTTTCCTGTTTTAATATCTCTTTCTAGAGATGTGTTTTTATTTGAAAGGCAGAGTTAGAGAGAGAGAGAGATCTTCCACCTGCTGGCTCACTCCCCAGATGGCCGTAAATGCCAGAGCTGAGCGATGGAAAGCCAGCAGCCGATAGCTTCTTCTGGGTCTCCCAGGCGGGCGCAGAGGCCCAAGGACTTGGGACATCCTCTGCTACTTTCCCAGGCCATAAGCAGGGAGCTGGATAAGTAGAGCAGCCAGGAAACAAACCGGCACACATATGGGATGCTGGAATTGCAGACAGAAGCTTAGCCTACTAAGCCATAGCAAGCTCCCTGTTTGTTTTGACGTCTCAGCTCCCAAACATGAAGACTTTCAAAGTGGACGGACACAACACTGGTGACAAGTGAAGAAAGTACAAAAAATACAAAATACCTTATTAATGTTGATGGGCTATCAACAGAAGGAATCGTTAACATGTATGCAAAGAGTTATATATGTCTCTGAAAAACTGCTCTATAGAAGTAGACTTAGTAAAATGTTAAGCTGGTGATTATCAAAGCAAATTATAAGAATGTCATTGAAAAAACTTAAATAAATGCAAGGAAAGAGGCAGACGAGAGAAAAATATACTTATAAAAATGAATATATGAAATAATACACAAAACACAGAGGCTGTTAAAATGGATTATTTTTAAAATGTGACCCAATTACTGCTGGCTACAAAAATACAATTTGAATATGATGATAATAGAGATAAAAATAAATTTTGAATAAAGTTTTTATAAGGAGCCCAGCACAGTAACCCAGTGTCTAAAGTCCTCGCCATCTATGCACCAGGATTCCCGTATGAACTTCAGTTCATATCCCAGCTGTTCCACTTCCCTTCTAGCTCCCTGCTTGTGGCGTGGGAAGGCAGTGGAGAACTGCCCAAAGCCTTGGGACCCCGTACCCACGTGGGAGATCTGGAAAGGGCTAATGGCTTCAGATCAGCTCAGCTCCGACCATTGCAGTCGCTTGGAGAGTGAACCACCAGATGGAAGATCTTTTTTTATTTCAAGTTGTTAAAATGTTAGCAGTTGAATGATTTTGAGGGGGACACTGGAAGTCAGAGATAGCCTGTGTTAGACCTATACAAGAACCTTATCATTGGGAAAGCATAAACACTATGAAAGTAAATTCTAATGAAAACTAGAGCCTAACTCATTTGTGGTGTTGATTTTAGCATGATGGTATAGAATATATTCTTTGAATTTCCACTTAAAAAGAAGTTTAAAAGCTGTTTTCCTAGAATTATTGAAACAATTGTGATATAAAAGGTTTAGTGACAGCTGAGCTTAGTATTTGTTTTGACTGTTTACGTTGAATCAATGTAATGTGAAGGGGCCTCCTGGCATTTCAGATCAACTCTCTCGCTTACACATGATCTTGAAACCATTTATGCTGAGGAGAATCAAGAAAGATATGAAAAACAAGTTGTCTGATAAGGTAAGGAAAGAAACCTTTACTATGCACCAAGTTATGGTTCCAAGGGTGATAAAATCCTTGATGCATGGAAAAGGCCTGTAAATTTGATTGTGTCAAGGTCGGGCATTTGGTGCAAATGTAAGCTCTTGTTTGAAAAAAAACTTTTTTAAGAAAAAAAACAAGGGCCCGGAGTGATAGCATAGCTGCTAAAGTCCTCGCCTTGAACACACCAGGATCCCATGTGGGCGCTGGTTCTAGTCCCAGCAACTCCACTTCCCATCCAGCTCCCTGCTTGTGGCCTGGGAAAGCAGTCGAGGACGGCCCAAACCCTTGGGACCCTGCACCTGCATGGCAGACCTGGAAGAGGCTCTGGGCTCCTGGCTTTGGATTGGCTCAGCTACGGCCATTGCAGCCGCTTGGGGAGTGAATCGACGGACGGAAGATCTTCCTCTCTATCTCTCCTTCTCTCTGTATATTCACCTTTCCAATAAAAATAAATAAATCTTAAAAAAAAAATGAATAATTGGCCAAAAATAACTTAGTAAATATTCAAAGTATTCAAAAACACTGCAAATATGAATATGCAGAAATGAATGAGGTCTTAATGAAGGGTTTCAAAGAAGATCCTCTCCATCTTTTAACATCTTATCACGTCGGGAAAAGAAACAAAGGGAAAAAAATCACTAAAAGGTATTTGATGATCACTCTACTGTGAGTCCTACAAATACTTTAACATTAGCAAACAAAGGGGCAGACCTCAAAATACATAACACTGCTGTCCAATCACTACTTGATCAAACTGAAAAACATAAACTGCAAACTTTTCCAATTTCACTACTCTTAAAAACGTTTTAATTTATAGTCATGCCTTGTTATCTTTAAATATCTAAGCATTCCAAGGCAGTGACCCACAACATCAGACATTAGCCGTTCACTTCCTAATATTCATCTCTATATTTAGTATCTGGCTTCAGTTATAATATTCTGAAGAAACCCAGGCAAGTTTAAGAATGGGGATTTCAGGAAATGAGATTTTCACTTACAACTCTGGGCGATTTTACCTACCAGAGTTGGGAAGGTCTTCCAATAATCTTAATTTACCCTTAACCCAGCTGCTCCCCACTTCAACAGACAGAAAAATAATGAAGCCCTGGGGTGGGTGGAGGCAAGGTGGGCACATCGTGCCTCTTTAGATGTGCCTCCAGTGCTGCCACCTCCTCTCTACAGCGTCCACAGGGAAGAGGGAAGGCTGTAACTTACAGATCCCTGACGTTTCTTGAAATCTGACCACATTACACAAGGCCAGTAAACTTTCTCCCACTCTTTTATGGTACCACTTCAAAGATCAAGAATAGTAACATGAAAAGTCGACAGACAACAATGGGCTTGACCACACAGCCTGCACGGCCAGACTACCTGGCAGACCTAGGAACCCAGCAGGCCTGTGCGGGGACTGCAGGTGACACAGTGCGTGAACACAGCTCCCTAGATTTTTTTTTTAAAGGCTTATTTTATTTTTTATTGGAGAGTCAGATATACAGAGAGGAAGATCTTCCACCCGGTCTCCCACCCAGGTGTGGGGTCCTGAGGCTTTGGGCCGTCCTTGACTGCTTTCCAGGGCCACAATCAGGGACAGCTGCCAAGTCTTGGGTGTGCACATCTGGCTTCCATCACCTGCAGCACTCACACAGACCGGCCCTCCACCCCCACCCGGGCAGGCTTCCATCCTGCAGCACTTACGCAGATCGGCCCTCCACATCCAGTTTCGCAGGATTGACCCCCTTTCTTGCAAGGATCGCAGATACTTTTTCTACATCCCCTCTCTCTGCTGCCTTCATCAATCGGTCGTCGTATTTATTCCAGTCAGCTGTATGCTGCAGAAAGGAAGAGATAAGTCAACATGGCCCATGCTAGCTGTCGTGGTCCCTGACTCCCATTTTCTGATCTGGCTCTGACGGATGTCAATTATCTTCCATACGGGGGCATGTGTCCGTCCCATGACATCCCCAATTCTCCACTCCCCCACCACATACCTACGGAAGCACTATCTAAAGGGAGCTTCTAGAAGAAAATGCACAGAATTATACGTGGGCACACTCATACTAAACACAAGTCATTATGTGGAAAAAAAAAAAAAAAACCACCATTATGGAGCCCAGCGCAGTGGCCTAGTGGCTAAAAAGTCCTCACCTTGAACATGCCAGGATCCCATTTTGGCGCCAGTTCTAAGCCCGGCGGCCCTGCTTCCCATCCAGCTCCCTGCCTGTGGCCTGGGAAAGCAGTCGAGGACGGCCCAAAGCCTTGGGACCCTGCACCCGCATGAGAGACCCAGAAGAATCTCCTGGCTTTGGGCTCCAGCCATTGTGGCCACTTGGGGAGTGAACCATTGGAAGGAAGATCTTCCTCTCTGTTCCTCCTCCTCTCTGTATACTTGCCTTTCCAATAAAAACAAATACATCTTTAAAAAAAAAAAAAAAAAAAAGAAGATATTCAGGATATTTTCAAACCAAAAAGCTGAACCTTTACCGAATACACAGAAATTTCAGAAAACAGAACTAAAACATATACTGAAGATTTAAGCTTATATACCAACTTAGAACCAAAAAAAAAAGTGCACAAATTTTTCATTTTACTGAACTCAAACACTAAAATAAAAACTAAATTAAAAAAATTAAAAATTACAGCTTCCACTTACTTCTCACACACACTATTTTAATGGAACCTGACTCAAACACCTATATACACTCCACAACTTTCATCTCTAAAGGAATTGGTTATCCGGAGATGAACATTGAAAAGTTCAAACTGCCAACCACGAGTAGCTCTAAAATAGCTCTACTTTCTGACTCAAAGTCTGAACTACATTTTCCTTAGCCTGAAAACACAAGGTTTGCTGACTGTAATCTGAGTGATAGAACATACCAGCTTAAGAGGCACCGTTTCCAGATGCCAAAGAAATTAAGCCATATTTGGCACGCAAATATCTGCTCTCAACTTCTTAGTTTATCCTTGCAAATAAACCAATTTTAACTCTATTTCCAAGTAAAGTGGCACATGGAGAAAGAAGGTACTTACATCATTTTTTTAAAAAACCGTAAAATCCAAAGTTGAGCTTCTTAAATGTGATCTAAATAAATTCAGAAATATTTGTGGTTCTTAACTCTACTGCACCAAGTTCCATTTTCACTTCTGCTCCAGTGTAACTGGCCAGCGGCACTACTCAATTATCCAGATTCTACCAATCTGATTTTATACCCAGAGAAACAAACAAGAATGTTTGTATTCAATTACTGACTCCAATCTGCTAATCAAATAAATCAGGAACAAAATTACATATATATATATATAAAATAGTAACAGGTGGTTACCAGTTACTTAAAGGCACTAATTTAAAACCAGGCAGTGCAGAAATACTGCTGGGGAATCCTGCATATCCCATCAGATCACTGGATACCTACCCTGTTGTCAGGAGCACAAGAAAGCCAACAGTTCATCCTAGACAGGATTTCGCTCTTGTTGCTGACAACAAACTACCCTGCGGAGTTAACAAATCTTTGCAACTCACAAAGCAAGCCCTGGCACTCCTAACCAGCGACCCAGTCCCTTGCACGCCAGGCAACGCTTAGCACAGTGTTGGCTTCATCTTCGTGATCCTTCTTCGTCTTCATAATGCTGGAAAATTCTCTTATTTCCTGTGTAGCCCTTAATGAATAGCAGCTCCAAGTCAGAGATTCCTCCTCTTTCTCTTTCCCTGGAAGCGGCCTCTCCCTTTCAGGCTCCCGCTGGAAACCCTGAGCTCCGCATTCTGCCGTGGAGCACAGCAACGCGGAGGCTGCAGTGCATGGTAAAGCCCCGTACAGCCCGGCAGTTCAGTAAACAGTGAGTATCCGGTCTCCCATTGGTGGGTTCTGTTTTAGATTCCATAGAACCTGACAGCTGAGTGACAGAAAGGAGCAGCTAAGAATATATTACAAATGCATGCTTTTCCTCTGAGTAAAACATTTTTATTCTACTTGGAAACAGGAGCCGAACAAACTGTAAAACATGCTTATTGTATCAGGATGGTTTGCGTGACCGGATGACAATGTCGTTAAGAGACAAGTCTGGCTTTTCTACAATTTTCAAAACACATCTCAGTCTCAGGATCATCTCTCATGAGGTCAGAATAGCCTGGAAAAACAGAAATGTAAAAGTCTATTCTGAGAAAATGTGTCACGCTTTATTTAAGGGAACACACAGAGACGCAGTCGTATTTTCAGATTGTGTCCGTTTCATGTTGTGTCTCTCTCAGTCTCCTTTTGCACACAGCCAGGTTTCAGCTGCCAGCTGCTGCCAGTCTGTCTCGTGGCAGATTAAACAAGAAAAGCCCCGAGACGCTGCCAAGACATCAGACACAGGGGCAGGAATGACTCCGAGCACATTCTAAACTGACCTTAGTTTTCTTCGTTTCAAAGTTTAGCACACTGCTTATTATGTCAAAGTAACCATTTTATCAAATGATCTGAATTCAGTGGACCAGAAAATAATGAAACCAATTAAATAATAACCTAGAGATAAAATTCTGCCTGAGGGCATAACAGACACCTTCTCCACAGCCTCTATGATACCCTGACTTGTACTAACACCCATATATTGTCGGGACATCCACAAACTTGCCGTGTTTTCTCACCATGCTCTAGTTACCAAAACAGCATGAGGATACTTTACACCTCCTTTAAAAGCACACATTCAGGAAAACTGCTGCATGGAAACGCAAAACCTCCCAGGCAAGACTCTGTAGACACAAGGTTAGCTGATACACTTAGATCATGCTGCCAGGCCAAAGAACATCAACAAGACATTTACAATTATCTGACCTCAAGCCATCAGGCCTTTCTTCTAGTTAGAAAATACGTACACAATGAGCTATATTTCACCATCTTTTTTTTACACAATGATTTTTTTTTTTCCTCCGAAACCGTAGGAGATACCACAATGCATTCATTTATCTAGACCCAGGGAATCCACACAGGATTTCCACTTTCAGAGGAAACCAGGGAGGGACAGAACTCGGGCTCTGTCCTTTGGGTAACAAAGCAAGGACATTCCTTATGGAAACAGGAAATTAAAGGCAAGGCAATAGAAATCAATAGGAAGAGGAAAGCTTGCAACGGTCAGAAACGCCATATAAGGATGTCCACACTCAGAGGCTGGGGTCTGCGTGTCCTGGTGCACGGGGACGCCCTGAGCCGTCTGTAAGGAGATGTGTGTGCTCAGGAGCTGGGGTCTGTGTGCTCAGGAGCTGGGGTCTGCGTGCTCAGGAGCTGGGGTCTGCGTGCTCGGGAGCTGGGGTCTGCGTGCTCGGGAGCTGGGGTCTGCGTGCTCAGGAGCTGGGGTCTGTGTGCTCAGGAGCTGGGGTCTGCGTGCTCAGGAGCTGGGGTCTGCATGTCCTGGAGCACCGGAACGCCCTGACCTAGAGCTTCATCTGTAGCTGCCACTCTGCTAGTTGCACACTCTCCTTCAACAACAGCTGTTTCCCAGCAAGCCTAGTCCAACTCCCAGCTCTGCTGGCTCCAGCTTCTGCTGGGCTCGTCCTGCCCTTCCTTCAGGTGTTTCTCAAAAGGCATCTCCTCGGAGAACAATCCTCAGAACGGTGTATGATCAGCTGACCCCAATCCACAGTCCATACCCTCAGGTACTTCAGTTTTGTTCGACGGACTGAGGCTCTGCCATTGCCCCACCTTTCCTCTGTTTATCCCCCTAACTGCCTGTCTCCAATCCCTCCTGTGTGACCAACTATCCAGGGGCTCTTCTACATTATTGGAAACTTATCAAAAAGGAACAATATAGAAAGAGAGGAGGAAAGGGAATCTTTTCATGACTTTTATCCATTTGGTTTCACTTATTCAAATTGTTGTATGGCTAGGACTGGGATAGGACAAAGATAGAAGCCTGGAATTCCAACCGGGTCTCCCACACAAGGTAACAGGGACAATAGGACAACCACAAGCCATTATACCATTATATGCATTTGAGGATTTTTCTCTGCTATTGAAATAAATAAATAATTTTTTAAAGCCATGTTGATACGAGCCCAGTGCAATAGCCTAGTGGCTAAAGTCCCCGCTTTGTACACACCAGGATCCCATATGGGCACCGGTTCTAATCCTGGCAGCCCTGCTTCCCATCCAGCTCCTTGCTTGTGGCCTGGGAAAGCAGTCAAGGACGGCCCAAAGCCTTGGGACCCTGAACCCGTGTGGGAGACCCGAAAGAGGCTCCAGGCTCCTGTGCCTTTGAATTGGCTCAGCTCCGGCCGTTGCAGCCACTTGGGGAGTGCATCAATGGAAGGAAGGTATTTCTGTTTCTCCTCCTCTCTATACATTTGCTTTTCCAATAAAAATAAAATAAATATTTTTTTAAAAAATAGTTTTATTAATACCATCAAAGAAATAAAGGCGGATCCGGCAGCGTGGCCTAGCGGCTAAAGTCCTCGCCTTGAATGCGCTGGGACCCCATATGGGCACCGGTTCTAAACCCGGCAGCTCCACTTCCTATCCAGCTCCCTGCTTAGGGCCTGGGAAAGCAGTCGAGCATGGCCCAAAGCTTTGGGACCCTGCACCCGTGTAGGAGACCCGGAAGAGGTTCCTGGTTCCCAGCTTCGGATCGGCATAGCATCAGCCATTGTGCTCACTTGGGGAGTGAATCATCGGATGGAAGATCTTCCTCTCTGTCTCTCCTCCTCTCTGTGTATCTGACTTTGTAATAAAATAAATAAATCTTAAAAAAAAAAAAAAGGGCAAAAGTAATTTTTTTAAAAAGTAAGCCTACATAGTGGGAGGTGTTTAGTCATTTTGCCCCAGGAAGTTCTCAAGAAAGCCTGAACTATGTAAGCACAGATGCTCTCTGTTTCCCTGCTGCCTGGCTCTCCATAAGACTGTTTCTCCACACCTACCCCACCCAGAACCGCCAAGAGAGAGCAGAAGCAAGCCTCATGCTCATTTATTTGACTGACAGGAGCAAAACCTGACCAATTCAGCAGCTACACCTCTGAGCCATTAACTACTAATGAGGTTAAGCTTATCTTCATAAAGCACAACAGCTAATGAAAACATGACCAATTAGAATATCAAATTGTGCAGTCCATTCTCAATGAGCCTCACCCTAAGTACCTTAAGATGGCCTAATACATAACACCTATGCACAATTTTCATTAATTTGAAATACCTGAAAGTAAGGCTTTGGGAAGCAAATTATTCATGTCAAATAGTTGAAAGTTTACAGGATCAGGTGGCCCCACTGCCCAGCACCTGGTGAAGGCTGTTCATGGCAGATGTAAATACAGAATATAGGCTGAACTCTACAACAAATCAAGCTTCTTGTGAGAACTCTCCCTTCAAGTGCACAGCCCCAAGGACCCAAAGACCTCTCACCAGCTTCACCTCTCAGATGCCATCATTAGACCAACCTCCATCCTCAGTCAAGTCGTCACTGAAACATCAGGGTTCAAACAGCTGCATGAATTTTGAAAAGGCAGACCCTATCACAGTCTAAAGAAAATGCACACTTAAGGCAGGCACGTGGTATACTGGTTAAGTCACCTCTTGGGACGCCCACATGGTAAGAGTTCCAGCTACTCTGATTCAGTCCAACTTCCTATAAATGTACGCTGTGGGGATCAGCAGATGAAGAGCTCAGAGACATGCACTGCCGTTCACAAGACACATGCACTGTGTCCTGGACTGTTGGCACTGGCCTGGACCAGCCACGGCTGTCATGAGCAGAAAGATTCTCTCTCTCTCTCCCCATTTCAAATAAAATGAGAAATAAATAAATAAATAAGTATGCATCCAAATCACCAGAATTAACATTTTACAAGAAACACGAGAAATAACAGAACCTAGGCAACTATATACATCACAGCTTGTATCACTGTATCTTGAAATATTCAGCAGAAGAAACGATGGTTTCTTAAAATGCAGCAAGGAAAAGCTAAAAGTGGACCTAGAGATTAAAACTGACTTCAGAAGATTTCAGTCAAGCACAAGGCATGAAACTGAAGTACCCTCAGTAAATCAATCATCCTTTTACATAAATGAGTGGGAGGAAGGACTTTGACTACTAGCCAGATATTTAAATCCGTGAGCAAGCCACATTCAACAGCCCATCTGAAGCATCGCACACTTCCACGAAGTGGGGTTTATCACTGGAATGCAAGAGTGGTTCAACATACAAAAATAGTGTAATATACCACATGGACACAACGAAGGACAGATATGATCATCATCTCAGTTGAGGTAGAAAAAGCATGACAATACACAAAGCCTTTTATAATTAAAAAAAAAAAATCTTAGAATGGAAGGAAATGACTCAATATAATAAGGGTTTAATGTGAGAAGTACACTGCTAACATTATACTCTCGTGAACAGCAGAAAGCTTTGCATCTAAGACCAGCCACAAAACAAGGTACTCATTCTCGCTATTTTTTTTTTAAGTTTATGTTTTATTTATTTGAAAGGTAAAGTTACAGGAAGAGGCACAGATTCTTCCATCTACTGGTTCACTTCAAAAAGGGCCACA